GATCTTAAATCATAAGAAAAAAAAAGTCCCTGTACCTCCTCACCCTCTTTCTGGGGGTGTTCTAGGCACTGCAGAGGCTTGAGGGGAAATCCAGAGAAAGGCAGGGCAGACCCCACCCTCCACGGGAAGTAACGGAGCAGAACAGGCACGCGCATGTGAAAAAGATCTGCTCCGTGATGCACCAGGGAAGCATGTCAACAAGCCTGAGCCATGTGGGTGTGAAAGGGGAGACGGAGGGTGGTTTCCTCTCCAGCGTCACCACCCTTGGGCCTGTGTCATTGCAAGAGCACTCCTCCGAGAATCCGGCCACCACCGGGGACGTGAAGGACCCTCGGGATCATCTCCTACAGCTGCTCCACTTGGCAGATGAAGAAACCGAGGCTGGGAGTGGCTTGCTGGCATCGTGCTTAAGCATGTGAGGTGATACACGTGCTGACCAGCTTGATTCAGCCATTGCACAATGTATGCATATATCAAAATTCATGTTGTGCACCATAAATTATACAACTTTTGCTTGCCGATTAAAAAAAAATAAATAAAACATGACCTATTTACGGTTGTGAAGACTGAATGAAATAGTGCCGCAAAACTGTAGACGCCCAGCTACTTGCAAGTGTTGAATCAGTCAAAATTATGATTCCTTTCTACCTCTCTCTTTTCCTGGCTAGGCCCAGACCATTCTCCCTGCTGCCATGCCTGTTTCCTACCCAACTGGGACCCCCTCAGGCACTACCGCTTCTCCCACTAGTGACACAGACTTTGGGGGCAATCTCAAATGAGAAGTCTGACTCTTAGCTGGGTGACTTTCTACAAGTCACTTAACCTCTCTGAGCTTCAGTTCCTGACGTGTAAAAGTGAGAATCCTAATACCCAGTGTCGTTCTCTGACAAATCAATAGCACAGAAGAATGGGAGGGAAGGCAACTGTTATAGATTAAAAGAGATTCATGAGACAAAAACAACAAAATGCCACATGTAAGACCTCACTAGGATCTGATTTGGACAAGCTAACTAAAAAAAAAAAAAAAATTGAGACCATCAGGGACCTCTGAAAATAATCTGGGAATTAGATAATATTAAGAAATTATTATAATTTTTGTTAAGATAATGGCATGATGATTCTGTAAAAATATCCGTATCAGTTAGAAATGCACACTGAAGTATTTATGGGTGAAATGCCTTGGTGTCTAAGATTTGCTTTAAAATATTTCAGAAAAAAAGTGTATGGGAGTAGAGATAAAATAAGATTGGGGAAATGCTGAAAGTTAGATGTGGGTTTGGTCACATGAGTTCATTATACTATTTTCTCTACTTTGTGTATTTGAAATTTTCATTGATAAACAGTAAAAATAAATAAACAAAGTGACTTGCAGAGAGGGAGGCAGTGAAATGTAGTGGTTAAGGGCTCCGGGCCCAGACACGCCACTGAGTTTCCATATTTATATCTTCATCTGCCAGTACCGTAGTGGTATAATATGGTCTATTGACTGGTAATGACACTGGTTTATAATTTTCTGGTTCTGATGCTGGCTCTGCCACTCACTGCTGGGGAACCTTGGCCATGTGACATTCCTTCTCTGACCCTCCGTAGCTCAGCTGCAAAACAGGGAAAATCATGACCCCTGCCTCCCTGAGTTACTGCAGGACTGAACGAGAGGATGGAGGGACAGGACTTAGCACAATATCTGGTGCATCATAAGCGCTTAGCAAATGCTTCGGTGAGAGGAGCACAGATTTAGGAATCAGGCTACCTTGGATGTGAACCCCGGCTCGGCTCTGCCACTTGTAGCTGTGTGGCTTTGTCCAAACCAATTAACTCTCTGAACCTCACTTCCTCCTGGGACAAAGTGAAGACCATAATACCTCCCTTGCAGGACTGTTGTGAGGATTAAATGACAAGACATGTTTTGATGTCCAGCACGGCCACGTGGGAATTTCCCCCCCTCACCCTTGACTTTCAGCAGCGCCAGCTGTGCCAGCGCCCGGGCTGGAGTCGGTCCCACTGTCCATCTGCTTCGCTTCGGCACCTGGGCTGCCAAGTACGGCTGGAGAAAGTCAACAGGACCCTGTGGATGGCTCCTCGCGAATGACAAATCTGTGTTGGGAAACATCGGCCCGGCTCTCCTGCTCCCAGGTCCTTCACTCTCTCTTAGCACTTCCTCCTGTGTTCCATATTGGCTGGTTCAAAGCTTTTCCACCAACCACCTGCTGGCGCTACCCTCCCCACTGGGGAGACTTGGCCTCAGAAGTTGACCTCAACACTTTCTTGACCAAGGTCATCAAATACAAGCACCTTTCTCTCTACCACCCAAACCTCTGATCCTCACCTTCATCCTTTCTTTCCTTCTATCCTCCCAGCTCAAAGGTTGGAGCATCCCTCTCCTTCCCAAGGCTTTAGAATTCACTCCATGATCCCCAATCCCTCATCTCCAGTACTTTCCACTGGCTGCACCATCTCAGCCAGAAAAACTTGCTCAAGTGCCTTAATCATCCCCAGATCTGACAGCAACGTCTGCTCCATTATTTACCTCACTCATTCACACATCTACTCATTCGAGAAACATTTGTTAAGTGCCTACTATGTGCCAGGCACTAGGAGTATGGAGATGAATAGATACAGTCTTTGCCCTCAAAGTGCTCAAAGCCCAGAGGGAGAATTGGACCCCCACACCGATGACAGTAATATGACAAGTGAGATGCAAAGATGGACATGGTTGGTGCAGAGACTGGTTGGGTGTGTGGCCGGTGGGAGGGGAGCCCTGAAATGACTCTCAGATGCCTGGTTGGTACCAATGGGCAGAGGGTAGTGCTGTTCACTGAGACAGGAGACAAGAAGAAAGGAAGGAGGAGCCAGGTATTGTGAAAGATGGAGTGTTCTGTTTGGGATATAATGAGTTTGAGGTGCTATTGAAATATCTTAGTAGAATTCTCCAACACATCTTCAGCTTAGGGGAGGGAGAAGTCTGAACTGGAATTAGAGATTTGAGAATTGTCCCCATACAGGAGTTGGAATCATGAATGTTTATGGGGTGCTTTCTGTTGCCAGTGACAGAGTAATTACACTATCGTGACATTTGCTATCTCACGTCATAAGGAGTCAAGAGGCAGGCAGTTCCAGGGTTGGAGGACTTGGCGGTGCAAGATGCCATCCATAACCCAGGTGCCTTCTAGAGTCCACTCTGCCATCCTCAGGAAGTCGACTTCTTCCTCAGTCTTGTCCCCTCATGCTTGCAACGCAGCTGCCCCACTGTCTCACAACCCCATTCAAAGAGAAAAATGAAGATTTCTTCTTGCACAAGTTACTTTTTATGATAGAGGAAGTCCTTTATCTTTAGCCAACAGACTTGTCCTTGGGTCTCACTGACCATATCATTAGGCAAAAGGAAACATGATTATCATGATAGGCTCAAACATTTTGTGGTTTATCTCCTTGGCAGTGGAGACCCATTTTCCTGGAACACAAGGGTGGCTTCTCTCCAATCCTCATCCTTGTGCAACCCCTGGCTGGCCTAGCAGTGCTGACTTGACCCAAACAGTCCAATAGAGATGCCAGGAGCTTGGGCTCCTGAGTCAGCATCTCTGGGTTCATATCCTAGAGCTACCTCTTGCTAGCTGTGTGACCTCAGACAAGTTATTTTACCTCTCTGTGCCTGAGCTCCCTCACCCATGAAATGGGGATATAATGGTTCTTATATCATTGGTTGTTGAGGTGACAAAATGAAATAATGCATACAACACATTTAGCACAGTACCTGACACATAGTAAGTGCTCAGCTAAAACTAGCCATTAACATCTGAGAGGGACAACTTTGAAATTCTCTGGCCTTTTGGTTTCAAGGCTTCTTCCTTTTTCTGTGACTGGTTCTCCTGCTCCCATCCCCTCTCTTTCCCAGCTCCTCTGCCCTTGGTCTTGTCTTGTGGCTCCAGTCAATCCTTTCTTGCCATCCTGCAGACTCCTCCTGCATGATCCACAGCCTCCTAGGCTCATCCTGGGGCCTGGGGCCACTGCTCCCAGTTTTCTGCCCCAGCACCATAGATCAGGTGACCCCCAAACCCCTGCATGAGATTCTACCTTAGGAACAGCCATCAGAACTGCTCCAATGACTTCTACTTGCCCATGTGGAAGGTATCCTGAAAAAACAGAGAACAAGTAAAACTTGTGCTGAGAGCCAAGGGGAGCCTCTGGCTAACTTCTGAGTGTCCAGGCAGGGCTCCATGGCACTTCGTGAGTGTTATTCCTGTCTGTCTCCCTTCCCAGGCTGTGAGCATCTCAAGACAGGGAAACAGATCACATCTCTCTGTCACATTGGTACCTGCTGCAAGCTAGTACTCAGAAAAACGTGTGATGAATGAATAAGATCCTGGCTTTGCCACTTATCTTCTAAGTGTCTTCGAACAAGGTCCTTTCCTTTTCTAGACCCATTTTAAAATCTGTAAAATGAGGGGACCAGACTGCATCTCAAGGGAGCCCTTTCAGCATTAAGTGGCATAAGTGGCCAAGGGGTAGAGGGACGGGCTGGCTGAGGCAGGGTCTCCAGGGTCTCTGGCAAAATGCTGTGCTCAGGTCTGAGGCAGAGGGGTGGGCTCAGAGAGAGGGGCTGCCCCAGCTCCTCACCTTGGGAGCTGCTGGGACTCCAGAGGAGGGGACAGAGCTGATTTTGGCCAGTGAGGGGGCACTGGCTGTTAACCCCTTGAATCCCAGTGGCACACTTGCTGGGTCCCCTCCCTCCCTTACTTGCCTGGTGCAGGGGACGGGGTGACCGATTTCTGGAGGAAACTCTGGGCCCCCAGCCCTTGCCTAACCCTGCCTCTGAACAGGCTGTCCTTGTTTACGACCCCCATCCCGGGGGACAGTGATTGCTCATCCTTGCATGTGATTTGAGAGGCCCAGTCTTTCAGGCTTGGAGGAAACTCAAGCCTCGCCAGGCACTTGGCATCGGAATGCTCAGCTGGTCCCCTCCCGGGGCTCATGTGACCAAGATTCAGCTATAAATATCAGAGGGGCTCCAGACCAAGACAGAATCGGGCACCAGGAGAAGGCAAAGAGGACCCAACTGGGTGTATTGTGACAAAGGCCAGACCCCCAGGATCTGCGTAGAGTGAGACAGCCAGGTGGGCCCCCACAACACCCCACAATATGGATTATAAGTCAGGCCTGATCCAGGATGGCAACCCCATGGAGAACTTGGAGAAGCAGCTGATCTGCCCCATCTGCCTGGAGATGTTTACCAAGCCGGTGGTCATCTTGCCGTGCCAGCACAACCTCTGCCGGAAGTGTGCCAACGACATCTTCCAGGTCAGTGCTGGCCAGGGCCTTGTCCTGGGGCCCCAGGTGGCTCAGCTTCCCTGCGATGAAATCCCTTCTCTCTTAGCCTTCCAACGGGGCCTGGCTCTTTCCCCTCTGAAGTGAACCCCTGTGGAGGCCTCTGGACTGGGCAGGGGGGGCTGGGAGGTGGCTCTGGCCACCCCCGTGGTTCTCCATGACGCAGGTTTCCCGTCCCGCCCTGCCCGCAGCTCCCGACCCCTGTCCTCAGCGCCCTGTTGACTCTCCAGTCAACAGTCAAACAACTCAAGCGATAAGTGTGGGGGTGGGGACAGGGGAGAGGAGAGAGAAACCAGACCCCTGTGGCTGGAGCCAGCTCCAGGTGGCAGGGGCCCAGAGCCTTGGGAGGAGGGGGGCAGGAGGGCGGCACCGGGCAGTAGATGAGTCTTCCCTTTTGGGGCCATTCCCTATAATATGGGGGCAGGAGGGCTCCACTCCCTGAGAAAAGAGCGGCACTGGGTGTGCTGGCGGTTCCCCAGGGGCACTTTACACAATGTTCTCTCACTGTTTAATCTTTAAAGTGGCGGCGTTAGGAGCTTGCTCTACTTGTAATGCCCATTTCATGAGTGTGCAAACTGAGCCTTGGAGAGTAAGATCACTTGCCTAGAGTAAGATCAGAGAGTAATGGTGACTTGAACCCAGCTCCGCCGACTCCCAAACCTGTTGATGGCGTGGCTGCTTCTTGGGTGCTCCGTGTGGAAGTGGGGGGCTCTCCAGGTGGTTTGGCCTGACAGGAGCGGCTGGGGTGTCAGGGGAAGGAGAATAAGAGATTCGAAGGGAAAGAGTTGAGGACAGAGCCCAGGCCTGACGGCAACCGTTGCCACCTGCAGGCTGCAAATCCATACTGGACCAACCGGGGCGGCTCGATGTCCACGTCTGGAGGCCGGTTCCGCTGCCCCTCCTGCCGCCACGAGGTGATCATGGATCGTCACGGCGTGTACGGTCTACAGAGGAATCTGCTGGTGGAGAACATCATTGACATCTATAAGCAGGAGTGTTCCAGGTTGGTCCTCCCGGCTGCTGGGGGGCCATCCTCCCACCCAGTCATGCCGTGCCAGGCTGTCCCAGGCTCCTTCTTCCTCCTTCACCTGCTCAGGATCCAGGCCCCTCGCTGGGCTAGCTGCACCAGCCAGTTCCCAGAGCCACTCTCCTCTTCCCAAGGCAGGACCCATGTCCCCCAAGCCTGGCTCGCTGGATCGCTCAGTGAATAAGAAGGGGCCCAGACATTAGGCGCCTTCTTAGGTGATTCTGAGACAGAGACTGGGGGAGAGACGAGATGAGAGAGTGGGAGACAGGCACTGGGGCCAGCTGAGTGGCCCTGGTCCCCAGAGAAAGCACAGCCAGATTGTCTATAACGACAGCAATGGCTGTTTTCCCATGCGCCAGCAGGCACGGTGCCGGGCCCTGGGAATGCTTCATCTTAGTGCCTCCATAGCCCTGTGGATCAGGCATGACTTTTATTATCCCTATTTCATAGATGAGGAAACAGAGGCTCAAAGAGGTGAAGTCAGTTGGCCAAGGTTTCCCAGCTAGGAAGTGGAAGCTCTGAGAATTGACCCAGTCAATCTAGCTCCAAGTCTCCTTGTTAGTAATAATATAATAGCTCCGTTGCGGGCAGAATGTTGTGAGTGGTGGAGGGTGTGCAGTGTTGGCCTCAGAGTGGGGAGAGACACAGCTACAGGGGAGATCTTTACAAATCAGGACATCCTGACTAGACTCCCAGGCTGCTGAGCTCACAGCCTTTATGGTCTAAAACCTTCATCAAGCTCCCAGGGGAAGGTGAGGGGCCAGGTCTAGGGAGCAAATGCCCTGGCCTGGGGAGCTGTGTTTGCTCATCTGCCTGAGACTAACGCATTGTGGGATCTTTGAAGCTTTGAAGCTTCCTTTTTCCTGTCGGCAAAAGGGTAGAGATAGTAAGATCTGTTATTGTGACTGTCAAGTAGGATACTGATGAAAAATGTTTAAAATATCAAATGTTTATTAGGCACCTACTGTGTGTAGGCCCTGTACCAAGTCCTTTCCAGACATTTTCCCTATCTAATTATCACAGTAACCCTGTAAGGCATTCTTTTTTTTTTTTTTTTTTTTTTTTTCACTCTGTTGCCTGGGCTAGAGTGCCCTGGCCTCAGCCTAGCTCACAGCAACCTCAGACTCCTGGGATCAAGCGATCCTTCTGCCTCAGTATCCCAGATAGGTGGGACTACAGGCACGTGCCACTGTGCCCCGCTAATTTTTTCTATTTTTAGTTGTTTGGCTAATTTCTTTCTATTTATAGTAGAGACTGGGTCTCGCTCTTGCTTAGGCTGGTCTGGAACTCCTGAGCTGAAGCAATTCTCCCGTCTTGGCCTCCCAGAGTGCTAGGATTACAGGCGTGAGCCACCACGCCCAGCCCGTAAGGCATTCTCATCTCCATTTTACCTTGAGGAAATGGAGGCTCAGAGAGGGTTGGTGTGAGGTTTATTCAAGGACACACAGCTGGCAAGTGGTGAAGCTGAAAGAGAGGTTACTGATTCCATGGGGAATATTCTTTTTTTTTTTGGAGACACAGTCTTGCTTTGTTGCCCAGGCTAGAGTGAGTGCCGTGGCGTCAGCCTAGCTCACAGCAACCTCAAACTCCCTGGCTCAAGCAATCCTCCTGCCTCAGGCTCCTGAGTAGCTGGGACTACAGGCATGCGCCACCATGCCCCGCTAATTTTTTCTATATATATTAGTTGGCCAATTAATTTTTTTCTAGTTATAGTAGAGACAAGGTCTCGCTCTTGCTCAGGCTGGTTTCGAACTCCTGACCTCGAGCTATCTGCCCTCCTCAGCCTCCCAGAGTGCAGGGATTACAGGCGTGAGCCACCACACCTGGCCCATGGGGAATATTCTTAATGGGACTATGCTAGATTGCCTCTTATGTTGCTCGGGCTCAACACCACAAAAACGTGAACAACATATTGTTGATCATTACAACAAATAAAATCAATGTCACGTCTATTATTAGTCCACTCAGTGTCGACCTATGAAGAGCATATTGTGTTTGAACGCTTTGAGGCCTTGCTGCGTAGTTGGATGACAATGACAGCTGCCCTTTATTGAAAGTCCACTCTGTGCCAGGCAATACACATTCATTACAGACATCACACAGAAGTGGAAACCTAATGTCCAAAAAAAAAAAATTAAAAATTACAGACAGCTTTTGCCATGCCTGCTGTGGCTCTGAGAGGAAACCCCAGCTCAGAGAGGCAAAATCACGGGTCCAAAATGACAAAGTGAATAAGTGGCAGAACATCTGATGTGAAGCCAGATGTGGAAGCCTGGCCTGGGGAGTGGGCGCCTGGGTGGGCGGCAGGCACGGGTACTGGCCCCTGCCTCACCCTCAGCACTGCAGGCCTGGGTTCCCTTCCCAGTGCATGGAGGCAGGTGGCAGAGACTGGGGACTGGGGAACTGGGCCCAGATGCAAAAAGACAAGTCTGGAAAGGGGCTTATTTAAGAACTTGAGGGGACAATAAAGCCTGGGTGTGAACAGTCATGCAAGTGTTCGGAGGTGAGGTGTTGACGCTGATGGGGCAGTCACCATTCGAGGTTGAGGTTTGTGAGACGCCTGTTACATTAGGGGCTGGGGGTCAGGGGTGGTGTGGACAGGACGTCACTGTAAATGAGCATAGAGTCTAGCGGAGGTTGTAGGGTGGGGTGAGACCTAGACTCAAAAGATCCAATCGAGGTTAGGAAATGACCACTGCCCCAAGAGAAGCACAAATAACAAGCCAGGGACCCTAAGTGGAGAAAGAGATCCAGGGAGAAAGGTGTTCTAAGGATGCATGTTAGGGAAGAAAGAGACGTGGACCCTGGGAGAACCTCTGGACTAGGAGTCCAGGCTTGTGCTGGGCCGTTGGACAGCCCTGGGCTACTCACGTCCTAGTTATGTGACTTGGGGCATACACACACTGCTTCTCTCCCATCTTTAGGGGCATCCTTATGGCTCAGAGAGGGAGAGAGGTTTGTCTAAGGCCACACAGCTAGCAAGTGGTGAAGCTGAGAGAGAGAGGGTGTGACTGACTACAGGGTGAATTTTTTTTTTTTTTTTTTTTGAGACAGAGTCTCACTTTTGTTGCCTAGGCTAGAGTGAGTGCTGTGGCTTCAGCCTAGCTCACAGCAACCTCAAACTCCTGGACTCAAGCGATTCTCCTGCCTCAGCCTCCCGAGTAGCTGGGACTACAGGCATGTGCCACCATGCCCGGCTAATTTTTTCTATATATATATTAGTTGGCCCAGGGTGAATATTCTTAACTGCTATGTTAACTGCTATGCTAGCTATTGATTCATTCTTTTATTTTATTTTATTTTTTATTTTTTTAAAGCCAGTCAAATTTAGCAGTTTGATTCATTCTTTCTACCTGTATTTAATTACCACGCCTCTGTGCTAGGTACTGTACACTGTAGGTTCAAGGGTGAAGAAAACAGGCAAGCTTCCCTGCCTTGGAGGAGGTTACAGTCTGGTGGATTAAATATAGAATTAAATGAGGGCATCAGTGTAAATCGCTTAGCTCAGAGCCCAGCCTGCAACAACCAAGAGCTGCAGTGACTATACTTAGAGCAAATGAACTCTAGCCTCCCCGCCCTGATTCACTGGGTGACCTTGGGCAAGTCAATCCACTTTTCTGAGGCCCAGTTTCCTCTCCTCTAAAATGCCTCCAGGCTGGAGAACTGGAGGTCTGTGACTGTCCCTGTGTCCTCAGCACTGGCAGAGCCTCAAGGCTAACTCCGTCACTGGAGATTGAGCCTTAGGATGGGGGCAAGCCGGGCGCGGTGGCTCACACCTGTAATCCTAGCACTCTGGGAGGCTGAGGCCGGCAGATTGCTCAAGGTCAGGAGTTTGAAACCAGCCTGAGCAAGAGCAAGACCCGTATCTACTATAAATAGAAATTAATTGGCCAACTAATATATATAAAAAAAATTAGCCGGGCATGGTGGCGCATGCCTATAGTCCCAGCTACTCGGGAGGCTGAGGCAGGAGGATCGCTTGAGTCCAGGAGTTTGAGGTTGCTGTGAGCTAGGCTGACGCCACCGCACTCACTCTAGCCTAGGCAACAAAAGTGAGACTCTGTCTCAGAAAAAAAAAAAAAAAAAAGGATGGGGTGACAGGTAAGGTGTCATTGGGTTCTCTGGTCCTGGGTCCCCAGAGGATGAAAAGGAAAAGTTTTGGGGCAGCCAGCCACTGAAAGTTCAGAATGCAAGTCTGGGCTAGAGTCCTTTGGTTGGAGCTGGTGGGGGGAGCAGGCCCCCCCCCCCCGTGACTTGTGACTGTTTTCCACCCTAGTCGGCCCCTGCAGAAGGGCAGCCACCCCATGTGCAAGGAACACGAAGATGAGAAAATCAACATCTACTGTCTCACGTGTGAGGTGCCCACATGCTCCATGTGCAAGGTGTTTGGGGCCCACAAGGCCTGTGAGGTGGCCCCGCTGCAGAACGTCTTCCAGGGACAAAAGGTACTGGCTCCAGCCACTTCTACCCCTGGCCTGGGGCTGCTGGGCACGGCAGGATGATTCAGGAGGTAGATTTGATCCCGTAGATCTGCTGAGCCGGCCCTTCCAATAGTCCCTCTGGAGGGACTTCCCAAGCCGCAGGGACAGCAGCCCTTGCCTTCCTGGGGGAGGTGGCTGAGCTCATGGGTTATACTTAGAGCCACTTGAGAGCACCTGGGTGTGGCCACAGGGGAGAAGTCAGACCCCAGGGCCAGGCCACCAGGGTCCTCTCAGGCCATGGCCTCTCCATCCCAGCGTACTTAGGCCTGGATGTATCTTCCCATGCCCCTCACCTCTCCCAGGCCTGGCATCCCCCTGTAGCAGAAGGCAGCTTAGAGCCCTCTCCCGGGGCCTGTGGGGTCCCACCACCCTGTCCCTGTAGTAAGCTGTAGCCCCCTTTTCCACACTCTTTCTTCCCCACTCTTCTCTTGGTCTCTTTCTTCTAGAACTCTCTCTCTCTTTCTTTTCTTTGTCCCTTTCTTCTTAGAAATAAGCCCCCCCCCACCAGTCCCTTGCTGTGTATTTAGGAAGCTCACTTCCCCATTCTCAGCCTCATCCATAAAATTAGGGATGTACTATCTCTCTGATATCCTCTGCTCTGGGCCAGAGCTGCACCCCAGAAAGAAAGGCCACACCCCTACTGGAGGCTCTTTCTAGCAGAGAGGGGAGGGAGGGCGCCACCATTGTTGCCATGTCCTAGCAGGCCAGCCCTGAAGCTATTTCTGTCTCTCCTCTCCTGACCTCCCCCCAACCCCCATCTAGACTGAACTGAGTAACTGTATCTCCATGCTGGTGGCGGGGAATGACCGTGTGCAGACCATCATCACTCAGCTGGAGGATTCCTGTCGAGTGACCAAGGTGAGGGGACAGAATAGCCCTGCCTTGGGGCTCGAAGTCTCCCAGTGCAGCCTGGTCTCTGGGGAAGACTCACCCAGGGGTTGTGGCTAAAGGTTGGGGCCTGGATTCCCGGGGTAGCTAAGCCTGGATGGCAGGGGAGGGACTAATCCACTTGTCCACTCACTTAGCAAATGCTTCTTGAGCACAGTTGTGTGTCAGGCCCTGCCCAAGGTGCTGGGATGAGAAACTGGTCTCTGACCTTAGGGAGCGTCCCACCAATAATTCCTCCGAATAATTTATTCGGAACAATGTTCTCCGGTGTGCTTGCTGTAGACCAAGACTTCTCAAACTTTAAAGTGCATGCGAATCACCCAGGGATCTTGTTAGAATCCAGGTTCTGATCCAGCAGGTCTAGAATGAGGCATAAGATTCTGCATTTCTAACAAGCTCCCAGGGTTTGCCCAAGCTGCTGGGTCCACGGACCGCACGTTGAGTAGCAAGACTGTCGAGGGCAAAAGGGAAGTTTTCAATCCCAGAAAAAGCATCCATGACTTTGCATCTCCATCTGGGGTGGGGACTTGGAGATGAGATGGGGGAAGAGTCATCATAGCGGCTAGTGGACAAAGAGCCCGGTGAAGGGTAGGTTTGAAGGAAGGCAGCATACATTGTGATCACCCAGGAGAGGCTCCCAGTCTGATGAGGAGCTGCTATTATACCCATTCTACAGGAGAGGAACCTGACACGCAACATCCGTGTTGGAGAGAAGGGAATTGAGGAGGGGAGGAGCTGGGGGAGGAGCTGCTTTTCCACTTCTCTTTGGAACAAAGGATGCAGAGCTTCCCAAATCCAGTCTTGGTTCTAAAACGAAGGGAAGAGTATGACTTGGGGCATATGGGAGGCCCAGAACATGTCATGCCATGTGACCCTAGAGCCTCTATTTTTGAAGAAGGGGCTAGCTGTTCTCCATGACACCAGCCTCCGAAGGTCACTGGTGTGCTGAGTAACTGTGAGACCTCACTAGTACTTTCTTCTTGTCAAGCCTCATCTTCTGTAAAATGGGGTTTAGTAAGAGCTCTCTGAGCTTTAGATTGTTTGCTCCTGTCCCTGGAAAGGAGTGTTGGGGGTAGGGAGCAAGGGCCCTATGGGATGTGACTGTAGGATTTCTGTCCTCAGGAGAACAGTCACCAGGTGAAGGAAACGCTGAGCCAGAAGTTTGACGTCCTGTACGCTATCCTGGACGAGAAGAAGAGTGAGCTGCTGCAGCGGATCACTCAAGAGCAGGAGGAGAAGCTCAGCTTCATCGAGGCCCTCATCCAGCAGTACCAGGAGCAGCTTGAAAAGTCCACGAAGCTTGTGGAGACGGCCATCCAGTCCCTGGATGAGCCTGGTGGGGCCACCTTCCTCTTGGTGAGCAGGACTAGGAAGGCCTGGGCAGGGTCAGTTTGACTCTGCAGCCCTGTCTAAGGTTTAAGTCATTTAAATCCCTGTAAGCCACAGTTTCCTTATCTGTAAAATGGGCATATAACAATCCCTACCTTCCTCTTCCTGATTTGTTGAGGATCAAATAAGAGGATGTTTGTGAAAGGGCTTTGTAAACTGCAAAACATAGTGTTCTATATAGAGACTATTAATTGAGCACCAACTGTAGGCCAGGCACTGAGGTGGAGCCACAGCGATGAAGCAGACACAGTCCTGCACTAGAAGAGCTTGTTGGGGAGGACAGAAAAGGCTCAGCTATAAGACTTTACAATTCAGTTCAGTAAAAAGTTTCCTAAGCTCCTACTGTGGGCCAGGCTTTGTGCTAGACATTGGGTATGAAAAGGCAATTAAGATATGATTCTCAGCTTAGAAATTTCAGGGTTTAGGAGTGTTTGGACTAATACCCCTAGAACCCAAGTTCCTGCCAGGACAATGGGAGGATCCCAGGGTGATGACTGAGACCTGTGTAGACCACAGACAGAGGGAAAAAGATCCAAGTTCTGTTCAGCTTGGGATGGGGAGCAGGTCACAACTGGGCTAGGGAATGGCACCAAGTGTCCATCTGGAACACCCAGTTGCCGGTTTGCTGGTTTCCTGGGGTTACGTCCTCTGCAATCCTAACCTTTGCTCTCTCTCCCCCCACAGAGTGCCAAGCCTCTCATCAAAAGGTCAGTGTCTCCCCAGGGACTGTGATCCAAGGCCCTGGTTCCTACCAGGGCTGTTGACTTCTGTCCAGGCCCCACTACCCCAGGCATTAGGTCTGCTGGGAGGTCTCGCTTTAGGCTAGTTTTCCTGATCTTTGCTTACTGCACTTTCTTGGACCATCTATTCTGCCGCCCCGGAGAGGAGACTGGGGAGGAAGTACTTCACCCCTCCAGGGAAACCCCTAAGTGGGAGGTCTGGGTGTGGGCATGGCACGTGCACTCGTGGAGTGGGAGCTAAGACACCCCTCCCTGCACTGAGCCCTGGAGATCTCACCCGGCCTCTCCCTCTCTCCCCCACACATGTGGAAGCTGTTCAGAGGCTGCAGTGGGAAGACAGAGCCAGGCTTTGAAAACATGGACTACTTCACTTTGGACTTGGAATACATAGCGGATACCCTGAGGGCCATTGACTTTGGGACAGGTAAAGAAGGTGGTGGTGCCGCTTGCCGACTTTGACTGCCTGGCCCCTGAAGCCAGCATCCCTCCCACTGAGCCCCACGGGGGAGGCAGATACACTAGCAAAGATCCCAGAGATCAAGACGAACTCACACAGCCAACTTCTAGAAGAGCGGAAACTTGAGCTGGTGCTGTGGGCATAGTCACGTTCAGTAATATGTACTAAATTCCATGGCGAGCCTCTTGGGCGTACAAATAGCAGGGTGTTGACAGACAGACTGATAAGGTCAAATCTGTTGGCGATCTGTTTGTTATCTGTGTGACCTTTGGCAAGCCCCCGTCTGCCTCTCTGAGTTTCGTTCCTTCCGTTCCTTCGTTCCTTCCTCCTTCTTCATCCTTCTTTCCTTCTTCCTTCTTCTCTTCTTCCCCTCTTTCTCTTTCTCTTCTTTCTCTCTCTTTCTTTCTTTCCTTCTTCTTTTTCTTCTTCTTTTTTCTTTCCTTTCTTCTTTTTTTCTTTTCTTCTTCTTTGCTTGCTTTGTTGCCCGGCAAGAGATTTGTTTTGTTGTTTTTCGGTGTCAGCGTAAGTTTTTGTTTTTCCTCACTCCTGGGCTCAACCATCCTTCCTGTTGCTCCGCATGGGTAGCTGGGATACAGGGCATGTACTCTTTTGCTTTTTTTTTTTTTTTAGTTTGTTATATTATTTTGACAATTATTTCTTGTCTTTTTTTTTTGTATGGTAGAACGGTCGCTTTTGTCAGGCTGGTTTCAAACTTCTGACCTCGAGCGAATCCTCCCGCCCGCAGCCTCCAGAGTCAGGTACAGGCTGAGCACCGCGCTGGCCGATAGTTTCATTTTCTAACTTTTAAAAATTAGGTTGGAAGTGGGCCCTCTAATAATGGCCACCTCATAGTGCTGTTGCAACAAATTGGATATTGATGCAGAAAGGTTTTATAGAGTCCTAGGCACATACCAGTTATTGCCTAAGGGTAGTCTTAGCTTCAGCTTCTTAACGCTTCCATTTATGATACTTGGGCACCTTAATTTATCAATATTATGTCCTCATTCCTGCTTACAATTACTCTTCCATAGAAGAGCCTCTAATAATTGCAATGATGCAACCACAACAATAATAAGGGGGAAAAGAAGAAGGGAAATGAGGAAACTGGATGAGAAGCAAAGATGTTAATTTGCTGGAGGTCTCGCAGCTGAAGGTAGCTATAAGCAGGGAAAGAGAGGACGAATCCAGCTGACTTGTTGAGTTAGTCTGAGGGATGATACTCCGGTGACTAGCTGAGCGAGAGAGAGGAAAAGGGGTGTGTGGGCAGGAACAAGCAAGAACCATAAATGGGCTTGCATGAGAAAGAGCAAAGCTTCTGGGCACCTCCTTCAGTATCTGGTGTGAAGTCTTTTCTCAGATCCCCAGATATACCCTACTCATGGGTTAGGACAAAATACATCCCAAAGCTGAGATACCAATGGACTCAGCTACATTTGTTGCTGCAGATTATCTGCGCCACTATTACCGACCCTAAGCTAAACTATTCGAGAGTGGGTCACACCATGTGAACACAGCATTGTGAAGACCTGCACTGCTCTTCCTAATCCCCTTGAACCTCAGTTTCTTCATCAGTAAAAATGGGAGAGTACCAGCAGCTACAATTTACTGAACACTTCTTATGTCCTAGGCACTAGGCCCTTGGCATAAATTCTATATTTAATACAACTTGATGAGATAAGTGCTGTTATCTTCTGCCTTTTGCAGCTGAGGAAACTAAAGCTCAGAGAGTGAGCAACTTGTTCGAAGGCCACACAGCTTAGCAAGTAGCCCACACAGACCCCACTGAGGGCCATCCCGCTCACAGACTCTTGTGAGGATGGTATGACAGTGCATATTTGGCACTTAGCACCACACTCGGTACATACTAAGTCCTCAGTAAACACTGTTATGAGTAGTCATTGTGATCACGATTAAATAGCAATAAAACCCCTGGGTTATGTACTGATCACAGTTATTTGGTTGGAATTTTGGCTGTTGATTTGGAGACACTCTTGACAAATGCTCTGACTGTGGTGGCCCCTGTGGGGCCCCAAAAGATTGAGGAGATGGCCTGGGGAAGGGGTGGGAAGTATGTTCCCTGTTAGAGCTGGAAGGTGGCAGCCCAGGTGAGACAGTGAAGACATAGTTTGCAGCTCGGTCACTGTCCCGTGCTCGGCTTCAGAGAGCTCAGGTCCAGAGATGGCTCAGACATGCTCCCACCCCATGCTCACCTCTCTGGAGGCCAAGCAAAGAGGAAATGGGATAGGGGGGCTGAGAGAGCAGATTGCAAAGGCTGAGCAAGTTCCCTCAAGGCCAGGACTCTGATCCCTGAGGATCAAGGAGTTTTTGTCCCGTTCTCCCCATGGGATGTTTATCTGTCTGAGTGATGTCACAGGCAGAGCAGGTGACAGAAGCTGCTGCTGCTTCTGGAACAAAGCCTCACATCCTCAGAGGGAGGGCAGAGGATCGCAGGAGCAGGCCTCTATGAGGCTTGGGTTTGGCAAGCCCATCACCTTCTGAGCCACTGCTGTCCCTGTGTCGCTGTCTGACCCTGACCAGCGCATGGGCAGGTGTTTAGACAGCGCCATCTCCAGCCTGCCTCTCCTAGTAGCTCCTTGAGGAACCAGCCCCATCCTAATGCAATTGTTCTTGCTCACAGATGAGGAAGAGGAAGAGTTAATTGAAGAAGATCAGGAAGAGGAAGAGTCCACAGAGGGGAAGGAAGAAGGTAAGAAATTCATCTCCCTCCATCCATTCCTTCCTTCATCCCTCCATTCCACAACAACAGGAGATACCTACCATGTGTGAAGTGCTGCGGTAGACATTGGGAATGACGCTTAGTCCTGTTCCCAGAATGTTTTAAACTTATTTAGGGTAAAGTCCTGTGCTCTTTATCCTCAGGGGGAAAAAAAAAAACGCCAAACCCCAAAACTATTCATAATAAAAAGCTCCCATTTTACATCTAAATGATCTTCTTAAATGGGAAGCAAGACAGTACAACAGAGGTCAAAGACAGGTAAGGGAAGTCAAAGACAGATAGGTAGCAGAGGTCAAAGACAAGGGCCTAATGAGCCAGGCTGGGCCCTTTGAGGTGTTATGTTTGGCCAGCACAGTGTTTAAAAATGTTAAAAAATCAGTTGCTAACATTTTAAAAATTAGGAGTTTTTTTAAAGGAATAATAATAATAATAAATAATAAAGAGACTTCTACTAAGAAGCTGCATTTTCACCTCCAAATTTTCACCTGAAAATTTGGAAAGAGCAAACTGCTGGGCTTGAACTTTCCCCAGTCCCAGAGTGCTGGCTCTGGGGAGTGGCTGTCCCCTTTACATGGGTTTGCCTGGCCCCACCACAGTCACGCCTGCCTCCTTCACTCATTCCTGTCATCTGCTGCCCCCCCCCAAGGCACTTGAGTTTGCTGAGCTGGCAGTTTGATTAAGAGCCTGGGTCTGGAATCGCAGCTATAGTCCAGACTAGTGCTGTGTGATCTGAAGCAGTTCGAAACTTCTCGGAGTCTTGGGCCACTCATCCATGCATGGGGCATAATAGTAGCGACTTCAAAAGGTTGTAGTGGGGAGTAAATTAGATAATCATTTAGCACAGCGTCTGGAGCATAGGAATAACATGTTTGCTGATTAGCACATAACTTGGGAATGTTATTTTTCAAGCCATAGTTACTGGAACTAAATTCCAATCCAGCTGAAAAATATAGGGTAGTCTTCTGGAGTTTTGTACTCCCTGTCTCACCATGTGCCTCTGTGTCTTTTGCTTTATTTCAGGTCACCAGGACTCCTTAGCTGGATGAATGAGAGACCCTCCAGATGCAGAGAGACTGGGGAGGGTGGGGGTGGGCCCGGCTGCCTTGGTGACAGGCCCAGGGTGGGAGGGGTCGGGGCCCTTGGAGGGGCAATGGGAAGGTGTGTCTTCTCTCTGCTCAGAGAGCAGGGACTAGAGTAGGACCCCACTGCTGTGTCCAGCAGCCACTGAACCAGAGTTGGAAACATGCTTGAAACAATCACACAGGACACTTTTCTACGTTGGTGCAAAATGGAATATTTTGTACATTTTTAAAATGTGATTTTTGTATATACTTGTATATGTATGCCAACTTGGTGCTTTTTGTAAAGGAATTTTTGTATGATAATGCCAGACCATTGTGTCACTGGCGACTGTCAGAAAGAGGGGAAGGAAGCCAGGCTGATACAGCTGCCCACTTCCTTTCCTGGGTGGGAGGACTGGGTAGCACCCACAGGCCTAGAAAGGGATGATGTACTGTATTTCAGTGCCTGTCCCCGACACATGGGCTGGTAACTGGGTTTGTTATATGTTGTTTTAATAAATGCACAATGCTCTCTTCTTGTTATTCAAAGGATCTGGGGTTTCATTCAGCCTTTTTCCTGGAGAGGAGAGTTCAGTGGGATGGACAGAAGGCCTGATAGGAGGTAGAAGGCAATGTCCAGGCTAGGCTTATGTCCCACCAAGGGAGTCCTTTAAATCATTTCCCAATGTAAGCGCCATAGAAAACTGGCCCTGAGATGATCCTCAAATAACAGATGTGATATGTTGCTGCTCTGGTTCTCCGGAAAACAGAGCCCAAGGCAAAATTTAAATGCTTTAGTTAGAGGTTGTAGAGACCAAGGGAAAATTTCCCTTTGCCCTCTGAAGATTCCCTGAAAATCAGCTGACAAGGGGCAGATTTTTTTTTTTTTGAGACAGAGTCTCGCATGTTGCCCAGGCTAGAGTGAGTGCCGTGGCGTCAGCCTAGCTCACAGCAACCTCAAACTCCTGGGCTCAAGCAATCCTTCTGCCTCAGCCTCCCGAGTAGCTGGGACTACAGGCATGCGCCACCATGCCCGGCTGATTTTTTCTATATATATTAGTTGGCCAATTAATCTTTTTCTATTTATAGTAGAGACGGGGTCTCGCTCTTGCTCAGGCTGGTTTCGAACTCCTGACCTCGAGCAATCCGCCCGCCTCGGCCTCCCATAGAGCTAGGATTACAGGCGTGAGCCACCACGCCCGGCCAAAGGGGCAGATTAATAGGAGAAAAGGCACACAAATTTATTTGATCATAGTTTTACATGACATGGAAGCCTTCAGAATGAAGATCCAAAGATACAGGTGAAACTTTTCTTAGGTTTATGTTTAGGTTCAACAAAGTACGGACAGCCATGTAGAAACATGATTGGACAAAAGGCTAGGATCTGATGCTAACAGACTGAATGAGGAGACCCAGCAAGGCCTGTCTGTCTAGATTCTTCTTGGCCTCTCTGAGCTGCATTCCTTCCTTCCGGGTGTGGGCAGGACCCTCTCTTGAATGGGGGTCGGATGACCTATAATTAAGCAAAGTATATCAGATAATGTCATTTTTAAAATGTCCAGTTTTTACACAGAAAAGGGGGGAAATTTTAGAGTAATATTTTTAGGTTTTATGGCTGGCTTTGGGGAAAAGGGTTCTGGTTTCTATGACCCACCTTGGGGAAGAGGGATTAGAGTTTCTGTCTGGCCTTAGTGGAGAATGAAGGGCCAGAGACAGGAGGCAGGAGAAAGTCAAAGAGAAGCTTTTGCCTCTGAGACATTCTTTTTGGGGTATTGTCTTATGAGACCCTTCCGAGTACACTCCTGGGGCCGACAGAGTGAAGGAAATGGAAGCGGGGCCAGCAAGGAGGGAAGCAAGTGTTGCATGACTGAGCTGGTCACAGCTTCACCAAAGACCTGGCTGCTTGCTCGGTCATACGAGATGTTCCAGCAGGGCATAGAGAACACAGCATTATTCAAAACAGTTCATCTGGTAAGAAACAGGAGACATTTGTGCGCTGGCTCCTTCCTATCTCCTGTCTCTCAGAGTTGAAGTTTGCCTTCCAGAGCGTTCCTTCCCCCTTCACTTCCATATGGCGTCACTTGGTAGCTTTGGGCAGCTGCCCGGGAAGCTGGACCTGGCCACACTGGGTCAGCTGAGTCAGGAGGTGTCAGCTGAGTCAGCTGAGTCTGGAGGTGTAGGAGGAGCCAGAGCCTCTACGCCTGTCCAGCTGGGCTGGGCAAGGGTGCGGGGCTGCGGGGGCCCCACCTCAGCAGACACTATGGGGGCCATGCTGGCGCCTGGACTTACTCCAGGGAAGGCCAAGGCAGCCACCAGTGCTGGGGGATGAGGCGATGACAGTGGCCATAGTAGCACGCAGGCTCTCAGTGAGCAAGGGGCCTAGGGCTGGGGAGAGGCCAGGCTGAGAAGATCTGAGGCAGCATGTTCGTTGACCGTGTCTGATACGCCAGGAGCTTCTGAGGGGCACTGCAGAGCCGTCCCGCCTTTTAGATTTCACAACACTATAGCAAGTTAAGCAACTCTGAACAATCCTGCCATAAAGAAAGCTAATTACCTTTAGACAAGGACCATGAAGTTCATGGGGCTTGGAATACTGTCTAATCCCTAAATCTCTTCAGTTTTTTTTTATTTTATTATTATTCAATATTTAACCCAGTGCTTCCCAACTGATTCATCCACGTGACATTCTCCAGGACTAGTGTTGTGTGGAACTCACTTGAGGACAGTGCTCTAAACCTGTGGTCCCCAACCCCGGGGCCACAGACCAGAACGGTGCAGGCCCTGCCAGCAACCTGACTGCAAAGCAGGAGGTTGGGGGCGGGGAAGCAAAGTCTCACCTGCACCCGAAGCCACTCCCCATCACTCCCGTCACCCCCTGAGCCCCGCCCCCTTCCTTTCCCATCCCCCCTCAGATCAGCGGTGGCATCAGACCCTCACAGGAGCACAAACCCCACTGCAAACTAGAGTCCTCTGTGGAAAAACTATCTTCCATGAAACCAGTCTCTGGTGTCAAAAAGATTGGGGACCACTGCTCTAAACCCTCGCACCTCTGCCCATTTTCACTTCTGGGAATTTTTCTATAGCTAACTCAGTTCCTACCTCTGAATTGCAAGAAATCAGATTTTGCTCTCATTTCTAGTCCCTTCTCAAGTTCTGAAGCATTTTGTTTTAAGTTTATAAGAATTGTGTAACACACATACATACCCACAGAAGTGCGCAAAACTAGTTGTAGAGTTTAATAAACTACTGTCAAATGAAACCCTGTGTCACTACCACCCAGGTCAAGAAAAAGAACTTTGCCAGGGCCCAGAAGCCTCCATGCCTGCCCCCCAACACAGCTCCTCTTTCTGCTTGAGGGTAGCCACTATCCTTTTTCTTGACAGTCACATAAGTGTTTTCCTTCATAGTTTAATCTCCTAAAGTTTCCTCCCGTAGAAAACTAAATTCACAGGTGATTTCCATCACCTTAAAATCATAAGAATCAGTATCATAACTTGTGCATATTCTATTTCCAGATTACTTTTCCAAGTTACTGATTACGTGGGCAACAGGCATTTCAGTCCCATATCTTGTCACTAAAAAGGGGGAGGAGAGCAGTCAAGACTATAATCAGTTAAAATTTAAATTCCAGGATGGTATCTGTTCATTGCAAATAAGGGGATCTCTCCTCTGCAACAGGAAGGGCTCTGCCTGTCCTTGCAAACTGGAACACTTAAGAAAGGTAGGGGCAGCCAGGCCAGGTGGCTCACACACCTGTAATCCTAGCTCTCTGGGAGGCCAAGGTGAGCGGATTGCTCAAGGTCAGGAGTTCGAAACCAGCCTGAGCAAGAGTGAGACCCCATCTCTACTATAAATAGAAAGAAATTAATTGGCCAACTAATATATATAGAAAAAAAAAAATTAGCCAGGCATGGTGGTGCATGCCTGTAGTCCCAGCTACTCGGAAGGCTGAGGTAATAGGATTGCTCGAGCCCAGGAGTTTGAAGTTGCTGAGAGCTAGGATGACGCATGGCACTCACTCTAGCCTGGGCAACAGAATGAGACTGTCTCAAAAATAAATAAATAAATAAAAAACAAGAAAGGTAGGGGCTGGGCGAGGTGGCTCACGTCTGTAATCCTAACACTCTGGGAGGCCAAGGTGGGAGGATCACTTGAGCACAGGAGTTTGAGGTTGCTGTGAACTAAGCTGACGCCATGGCACTCTAGCCCGGGCAACAGAGCGAGACTGTCTCAAAAAACAAAACAAAACAAAACAAAACAAAACAAAACAAAACATCAAGCTTCCTTCAAGAGCATGCTACAAGACAGGAAAACTGGCTAACTGGCTTCCCAGAGGGTTCTTCCCATGAATCTTGAATATACTGCCCAGGCTGCTACATCAGTATCACCACGGAAATTTTATTTTTCCCTAAACATTTAATTCTGAAAATTTTTCAAAATATTGAAAATAGAGGGAATAGTTATAGTGTACCCCCACTCACCCAATGCTTGGTTTCAACAGTTACTGACATACTTGTTTCTTCTATACCATTATCCATGCCCTCCACTGGAATAATTTTAAGGCAAATCCCAGATATTATTTTATCCCTAAATACTTTTTTTTTTTTTTTTGAGATAGAGTCTTATTCTTTTGTCGGGGCTAGAATGCCATGGCATCAGCCGAGCTCACAACCTCAAACTCCTGGGCTCAAGCAATCCTCCTGCCTCAGCCTCCCGAGTAACTGGGACTACAGGCATGTGACACCATGCCCAGCTAATTTTTTCTATATATTTTTAGTTGGCCAATTAATTTCTTTCTATTTTTGGTAGAGACGGGGTCTTACTCTTGCTCAGGCTGGTTTCTAACTCCTGACCTTGAGCTATAGGCCCGCCTCAGCCTCACAGAGTGCTAGGATTACAGGTGTGAGCCACCGTGCCCAGCCATGGTTATGATTTTTAAGGGAACTGCCCAGGCTAGAGTGCCATGGTGTCAGCCTAGCTCACAGCAATCTCAAACTCCTGGGCTCAAGCGATCCTCCTGCCTCAGCCTCCCAAGTAGTTGGGACTACAGGCATGTGCCACCATGCCCGGCTAATTTTTTATTTATATATATATTTTTATGGGACCGCATGCCTGTGGTCCCAGCTACTCAGGAGGCTGAGGCAGAAGGATTGCTTGAGCCCAGGAGTTTGAGGTTGCTGTAAGCTAGGCTGATGCCATGACACTCACTCTAGCCTTGGCAACAAAGTGAGACTCTGTCTAAAAAAAAAAAAATCATAGCATCAAACATAGAGGATTTTAAAAATACAGATTCCCTGGCCCCACCCCAGAGCTATTAATTAGACTCTGGCTGTGGAATGTCAGAATCTATGTTTTTGTTTTCGGTTTTTTTTGAGATAGTCTCACTCTGTTGCCCGGGTTAGAGTGCTGTGTTTGTCAGTCTAGCTCACAGCAACCTCAAACTCCTGGGCTCAAGCTATCCTCCTGCCTCAGCCTTCCAAGTAGCTGGGACTACCATGCCCGGCCAATTTTTTCTATATATATTAGTTGGCCAATTAATTTCTTTCTATTTTTAGTAGAGACGATGTCTCACTCTTGCTTAGGCTGGTTTTGAACTCCTGATCTTGAGGGATCCTCCCACCTTGGTCTCCCAGAGTGGTACCACACCTGGCCAGAACCTATGTTTTTAAAATAAAATTCCCTGGGTAGAGATTCCTTATGAAAAAGTTCCAGCAAAGCCAATCTTAAAAAAGAAACCTTAGCACTCTGGGAGGACAAAGCAGGAGGATAGCTTGAGCCAAGGAGTTCAAGGCTACAGTGAGCTATGATTACACCACTGCACTCCAGCCTGGGTGACAGACCGTGAGTCCCTGTCTCTAAATTAAAAAAAAAAAAAAAAAAAGTCCTGTAAAAGCTCTACAAAACTGTGTATGAAAAATTCCAGGTCCATTATATACCCAGCTCCTTCAGAGATTTCCCAGCATTCCCAGACCTCAACATTACCTGAGCAATTTTATTTTTGATAGGAAGAAAAAGATACAAATTTATTTTAACATGTACACATAGGAACACTCAGTTGAAGAGTCAACTCTCCAGCAGGGTTCAGAAGCTTATATGCCTTTCAGGTGAAATGGGTCAGGGGACGAGGGGGGTAGGGGAGTGAGGAAGAGGAATTCAGCTGAGGGACACTAAAGTATTCCCAGGGAGAATGAATGGATGGAGAACAAAGATAAACTGGTAAATAGTTCTGTTTGGAATTTAAGTGAGTCTGAGAGGTGGGACAGCAGGCTAATGAGGTGTGGCCACATTCCAGGTAGGGGAAGAACAGAACAATATACTCCTAGGTGGATCTAGATCTCAGGTAGATAAAGAAACTTCAAGGCCAGTGCCGGTGGCTCACGCCTATAATCCTAACACTCTGGGAGGCCAAGGCAGAAGGATGGCCCAAGGTCAGGAGATAGAAACCAGCCTGAGCAAGAGTGAGACCCCGTTTCTACTATAAATATAAATTAATTGGCTAACTAAAAATATATAGAAAAAAATTAGCCAGGCATGGTGGCACATGCCTGTAGTCCCAGCTACTCGGGAGGCTGAGGCAGAAGGATCACTTGAGCCCAGGAGTTTGAGGTTGCTGTGAGCTATGCTGATGCCATAGCACTCTAGCCCAGGCAACAACAAAGTGAGACTCTCTCCAAGAAAGAAAGAAAGAAAGAAACTTGAAAGACTTTGGGAGAATGATGGGGTGGAGGGAGGTCGGAGCACCTTAGGGCGTCTTAAGTCAGTGGGGCATGGTAAACTGCCATATTTTGGGGTAAAATATAATATTTCTAATTTCCTTTAGTCCTCACTTTGTAGAGATGGGGTCTTGCTATGCTGCTCAGGCTGGTCTTGAACTCTTGGTCTCAAGTGATCCTTCCCTTTGAGATTACAGGCATGAGCCAACCCAAGGCCAAGCATAAACATTTGTCCTCAAATAGATTATACAACAGGAATCTGAGTTTAGGGCAGTTTGAAACTAAAACTAGCCCTGCAAGAAATTCCTGTGAGTAGCACCCTCCCTCACTTAACTCTTATCTGATTAAATGACCAGCCCTATACTTGTCTACTTTTCAATCCAATTCACACTGTAGGCGCTCAGAGCTTGGCTAAAATGTAATATTAGTATAACATTCATCCTTGCTCTGAAGAATTTATAATCTAGTGGGGAGATCAGGTGACTACATACCTGAGATTACTTGCAAGAGCTTATAATGCAGAGATCTTCTAACTTTATTGTGCAGAAAACTCTCTGGGAATCTTCAGAAATATGCAGGCTCCACAGCTATAGATTCTGACTCAGTTGGTCTAATGCTGGCACCTGTAACCTGCATTTTAACACCTTCTCCAGGTAATGTGGAGCCTACTGATGCTTAGATTATACCTTAAGAAAATTGTGAAGTCTAAGGTTTTTCACACTCAAAAGTCCAGAGGAGGCCAGGAGGGGTGGCTCACGCCAGTAATCCTAGTATGCAAGGATTGCTCAAGGTCAGGAGTTTGACAAGCCTGAGCAAGAGCGAGACCCCGTCTCTACTATAAATAGAAATTAATTGGCCAACTAATATATATAGAAAAAATTAGCCAGGCATGGTGGCGCATGCCTGTAGTCCCAGCTACTCGGGAGGCTGAGGCAGGAGGATCACTTGAGCCCAGGAGTTTGAGGTTGCTGTGAGCTAGGCTGACGCCACGGCACTCACTCTAGCCTGGGCAACAGAGTGAGACTCTGTCTCAAAAAAAAAAAAAAAAGTCCAGAAGAGGTAGAGAGGCGCTCAGTGAGGACCCAAGCAAAGCACCCATGTCCTGGCCACCCTCCCTCCTTGCACCCGTCTCCTAACATGATGTCTGCCATAGAGAGAGAGACTGAAAGAGCCCTTTCATGTCCCCAGTGGTGTGAGCAAGAGTTTGCACCTAAGACTCTTGTCTCTGTGAAGGGCTATACCCAAGCTGTGATTCTGGCCACCAAGAGACCAGCAAGGGAGGTTCTTTCTCCACTGAGGGCACTCGTCAGAGTCCAGCGTGGGGGCCCACAGGCCCCAGCCTCTAGGAGCCGCCGGGTTTCCCCCATGGCGCTTCCCCCAGCGGTACCACCACTCACGGCTTCTTTTGCCTGCATTTCCCCAGCATTTGTTTGTCGGGGTTCCTGAGGCTCAAGTGAGCAGCTGCGGGGGAGGGAAGAAGGGATGGTGGCAGTGGTCAGCTCTGCCCACGACACTGTGCTTTGTAGGGGTGGCGATAAAGCTGGTCACTCCAGATTCCAATCAGAGCACGCAGAAGAGGAACTGGCGTTGCTTCACTGGCCAGGGCGGGTTGGTCAGTGCCAACCAGTCCTAAAGAGGGACACTGCCCCAGCCCCAGGTGAAGCAGAGCCCGTCCCCAGGAGCCCCCAGCCAGAGGGGAAGAACACAGCCCACCTCGGGAGTCTCCAGCCTGAGAGGGAAAACGTGACCAAGCCCAGGGCGGCGTCCAGTCTGAGGGGGAGACACGACCCCAGCCAGTAGTCTCAGCAGCCCCAATTCCGAGGCGAGGAGCCACATTCCTGCCATCAGGACCGGCAAAGCTGATTTTCACAAACCAAGTCCAGAATTTTTCGGTGGGGACGCGGCCCACTCCGCGGGGAGAGAGGGCACAGCGGTCCCCCGGTGCTCAAGCAGCAACGCCGAGCCGCGCTGGGCGGAGGCTGTGGGGCTTTTCGTCGCAGGCGGCTCCGCTCCTCGGCCCTGTGCGCGCAGGGATGGGTGCGCAGGGGCGGCGCGGGGGCGCCCTTTGCAGCCGGCCGCCCCCTCCCCCAGCCCCGCGGGCTTTTGCACACGACGCGCGGCGGGCCGCTTCACACGGGGTGGCGAGGGCCGGATAAAGCGGGCGGGCGCGGGGTGCAGCGGCGGGCGCCGAGACGCAGGACTCAGGAGCGCTGGGCGCGCGGGACCCTCCCGGTAGGCGGGTGCACGTGGCGGAGCGTCCCGCGCGCAACTTCCAGGGTGCTTGGCCGGGCCCTGGCACGCAGCTTCCCGCAGCCAGCGCGGGGCCGCATGGAGGGCATGGAGAAGCAGCACCTGTTGGACACCAGACCCGGAGCCCGGTAGGGCGACCGCGTGGGGAGGGGCGGGCTTTTGGGCGGCATCAGACGCACCTCTTCGTTTGCCATCCTAGCGGTGGTTGGTTTTGGCGGCAGCTTGAAATGGAGCCACGCAGTATGGTGGGGTGAGGTGAGGGAAAGAGGAAATTGACCGTGGCCCCGTGGTCCCAGGATCGTCCCTCCCTAGGGTTGATCTCAGATTCTGAACCCTGCTCACCTGGGGAGGGGGGAGGAGTCCAATACCTGAAGTTCCGCCCTGCCCAGCACTTTGCCCCTGGGCAGCCCTCCCCTGGGGAGGCCCTGTGTCCCCAAGTGCACTGGAGTGAGGCGCCGCTCTTCTCTGGAGCTTGAGCTCTGTTCCTTCTCTGCTGGACTAGACAGCCCACTCCTCGGCCAGTTCCCAAGCTCTTCGCCTCCTCATGGCCTTGGAAGGGATGGGGGAGGAGGGAGCACAGGCTTGTGAACACAGCCTTCTCACCTGGTCGCTCCCCAGGGACTGTTGAGCTTAGAGTGTCCGTAGTTGTTCTTCCCATTGGACACATTGGACACCAAGGCCTCAGGGGGAGATGAGACTGGAGTCAGTCCTCCTTGCCCCCATCTCAGAGTTGTGTTCCTGCTCCCTTCCTCTCTGGCCAGGTCATACATGGGAACTGTGTGGCAGGATGGGGCTGGCTGGATCCCTGTGCCTGGACGTGGCCTGGACTTGCAGGCCATTGAACTGGCTGCCCAGAGCAACCATTACTGCCATGCCCAAAAGGGTCCTGGCAGTCAGGGTGACCCCAAGAAGGAGCGGGCCCGGCGCCAGCTCTATGTGGCCTCCGCCGTCTGCCTGCTGTTCATGATCGGAGAAGTCATTGGTAAGGACTTTTGTGCCAACCTCATTTGGCACATGGGTAGACTGGATGTTCCCAGTAATATTAACACTCATAGCCCTATATATTGAACTCTCACTTGCTAAGCCCTTTATATACACATATTATCTCATGCAATTCTAACAACCTTTGTTATGGGTGCTGCTAGTCTTCTTATTTATTTATTTTGAGACAGAGTCTCGATTTGTTGCCCAACCTAGAGTGAGTGCCGTGGCGTCATCCTAGCTCACAGCAACCTCAAACTCCTGGGCTCAAGTGATCCTCCTGCCTCAGCCTCCCGAGTAGCTGGGACTATAGGCATGCACCACCATGCCCGGCTAAATTTTTTCTATATATATTAGTTGGCCAATTAATTTTTTTGTATTTATAGTAGAGACGGTTTTGCTCTTGCTCAGGCTGGTTTCAAACTCCTGACCTTGAGCAATCCGCCCCGCCTTTGTCTCCCAGAGAACTAGGATTACAGGTGTGAGCCACCACGCCCGGCTAGTCTTCTTATTTTACATTTGATGAAACTGAGGCATGTTTAGGTTAAGTAACTTGCCAAAGATCACACAAAACTAGTAGTTAAGGGAAGGCCTGAATTCCTAGAAGGAAAGAGCATTTACTGAGTACCTACTATGTTTTCTGGTCCCTATTTGAACTTGGTTTTCACATTTACCCTCCTAGTAGATGTTGTTGGCCCATTTCACAGAGAGTGGAAGTTGAGGCTCAGAGAGAAAAAGGCACTTGCTCATGGTTGTACTGCTAATGGGTGTAGAGATCTCTAACCCAGTGTGTCTTCTCCAAGAGCCTGTTGTCTCCCTGCTGCACACACAGTCGGGGGGCTTGGCTGTTTGGGGAGCTGACAAGGACCCTCCACCCTCCTGGCCCTGCCCCTGCAGGTGGGTACCTGGCACACAGCTTGGCCATCATGACCGATGCAGCCCACCTGCTCACTGACTTTGCCAGCATGCTCATCAGCCTCTTCTCCCTCTGGATGTCCTCCCGGCCAGCCACCAAGACCATGAACTTCGGCTGGCAGCGAGCTGGTGAGGATCCTGGTTGGACTGGAGATGGGGTTGAGAGAGAGGGTGGGTCAGAGCAGGGGTTCTTTTTTGTTTTGTTTTGTTTTGTTTTTTGAGACACAGTCTCACTTTGTTGCCCAGGCTAGAGTGAGTGCCGTGGCGTCAGCCTGGCTCACAGCAACCTCAATCTCCGGGGCTCAGCGATCCTACTGCCTCAGTCTCCCGAGTAGCTGGGACTACAGGCATGCGCCACCATGCCCGGCTAATTTTTTGTATATATATTTTTAGTTGGTCAATTAATTTATTTCTATTTTTGGTAGAGACGGGGTCTCGCTCAGGCTGGTTTCGAACTCCTGACCTTGAACAGAACAATCCGCCTGCCTTGGCCTCCCAAAGTGCTAGGATTACAGGCGTGAGCCACCACGCCCGGCCAGAGCAGGGGTTCTTAAGTGGCTGTAATGGGTGGCTCCCTGAGTGAGGCCGGGAGGGTATGTCAACCTTGGCCTCTGTCCTCTGGGAACTCCCAGTCTGGGGGGGGGCGCTACTCCCACTCATCCAGGAGCAGACCCCTGTCTCCAGGGAAGCAGAGTTCCCCTCCCTGAGAAATGCAGTGGCTAAACTTCAAGAACAAATGATAGCGGCACTAACGCTGCACATAGCTCCATGGATCGGCTCTGGGTCAGGGGAAAGGTCAGCAAAGCCTGCCGGAAGATGCAGGCTTTAACCTGTCCTCAGTTCACCTCTGGGCTGCACTGTCACTTTCCTCCATGTGGGAGAAAAGGTATATGTTTTAATAAGTCAGTTTCTTTACATGTAAAACGAAATGGGTGAACCCAGATAACTTCTTCGGTTCCTTCTAGCTCTAACATGCCCAGACACGTGAGTGATGGATTAGGCTCAACCAGGCCAGCCATGCCACCAGCAGAGCCCCATCGGGCCCAGACCCTGCCTTTGCTTGCGGGGGGAAGGGATCCTGAGGGGAGGGCAGCCTCCCCAGCCTTGGGGCCCATGCCAAGGTTGGTGTTGGGTTCTTCCTCAGAGATCCTGGGAGCCCTGCTCTCTGTGCTGTCCATCTGGGTCGTGACCGGGTTACTGGTGTACCTGGCTGCAGAGCGGCTGATCTCCGGGGACTATGAGATCGAGGGGGGCACCATGCTGATCACGTCGGGCTGCGCTGTGGCTGTGAACATCATGTGAGTGGGGCCCTGGTGTCCTGAGTCCCCCTCCTCCTGCCTCTCACAGCCCACCTGTGCCTGCTGTAGTGAGGTTAGGAGGCTGTGCCACAGTCTGGCATATGCCACAGGGACAGAACTTCCCTAATGTTTGACCTTTGGCACCTGGAACACCTGGGTCCTTTCTCATGCCCAGGCCAAGGACATCATGAGGTATAAATCTAGGGCCACATCAACTCTACCCACTCTCCCATGCATGTCAGGGAATAACCTTGGAGGCTTCATACCTGAAGTGGGAGGGACGAGTCCAGCTGTTGCAGGAGCAGGTGTCCCCAGGGGCACAACCCAAGTCTGTTTCAGGCTGATGTGCCTAAAATTGGTCTCAGTGAGAGGCAGTGGTGTGTTTCTCTCCCTTGCTCAGTGGCCTCAGTTTCCCCATCTGTGACATGATAGGGTGAATTAGGTGGCCTCCATAATGCCCTCCTGCTCAGATTTGGCACTGTGGCATAGTTGTGCCCAGACCTAGCATAGCAGTGGCACTTTCTCCTGTGGCTCTCTGCACCAAAGCCACGTGGACTGGGATCCTCACATGGCCAAAGGTATCCCTTGGAGTTTGGGGGTTTGAAATTTTTGCCCCACAGGGAAGCCAGCCCTAGTGGCTGATCTCTGTCTGCTACCTCAGTGAGCCCCTGGTTTTGTCTCCACTTCCATAGAATGGGGTTGATCCTACACCAGTCTGGCCATGGGCACAGCCACGGCCATGCACACAGCCATGACACCAGCCAGCAGCAGGAGAACCCCAGTGTCCGAGCTGCCTTCATCCATGTGATTGGAGACTTTCTGCAGAGTGTGGGCGTCTTGGTGGCAGCCTATATTTTGTACTTCAAGGTCAGAACTGGGGACAGAGGGAGGCAGGGAGCAGGGTAGTACAGACCATCTGGGCTCTTCCCTGCACAGGGCCCTTTCCAGGTTCTAGCTTCCTCCCAGTTCTGGGCAAAAGGGTGGGGAGAGGGAAGGAACATTTATCCAACACCTACCAAGTATCAGCACTTTTGATCCTCACCACAACCTTGAGGCAGGCGATAGTGTTTTCTGCAGCTCAGAAAGGTTCAGTGACTTGCACAGTGTCACACAGCTAGTAAGTTGTGGAGCTAGATTCAAACCCAGGACTGTGTGCTGCCGAAGCCCAGGCATTGCCCACCACACGGTCAGTGAGGTGTAGTGGAAAGAGCCAGGCAGGGTTGAAGCCTTTCTCTACTCCTTGCTAGCTGTGTGATGCTGGGTGACTTGCTTGCTCTAATTGAGCCTCAATTTCCCCATGTATACAATGGGGATGGTGGACCAGATGATGTCTGAGGATCATTTTAGTTGTGTCCACATCTCAGCCACTTGGACAGGGAGGAGGGGAAGGGACTGTGCCTTATCCCGAACTGTGGTCTGTCCTGCTTGTTCTTCCAGACGTGGAATAGAGTAGAAAACTGGGAGGCAGGGCCATGGTGAGGCTCATGCCCACCCTGCAGAGCGAGCCCCTCTCTGAGACACAGTGCTGGGTGGGAGTGGAGAAGGGAAGCTGAGGTGTTGGGTGGTGAACCCAGGTCTGCCTTCCCTCTTCCTGTAGCCGGAGTACAAGTATATAGACCCCATCTGCACCTTCCTCTTCTCCATCCTGGTCCTGGGGACAACCTTGACCATCCTGAGAGATGTGATCCTGGTGCTGATGGAAGGTAACCAGGGCTTTGGGGCTCCCTTTTTGCTCTTGGCTTTAAAGTTTCTCTAATCAGCCTCCAATAGGGTATGTGTGTCAGGGGAATCCCAGCACAGACATGGTCTGGAGCCTGGCAAAGGCCAGATCCCCTGGGGCCCTGGGCTGATCTTGGCATAGAGCTTGGGCCCTCGGGTGTGGCAGTTCCTGGAACTATCCCTGCCTTTCCTTCCTCCTAGCCCCAAGGGTGCCTCCTCCCCTGCTGGGATGTGTCCTCCCTGCCTACTCAGGTGGCTTCTGGGTGGTGTCTATAGCACCCGGAGCTCCAGCTCTACCCTGTACACTTCCTCAGTCTCTAGTCCCCTTCTTTCAAGAAGAGAGAAGGGGAAGGATTATGCTTCCCATTGCACAGGCGGGTATACTGAGGTTCAGAAAAGGGCAGTAAGTATTGGACATGGCTACCGAATCCACTCCAGCTCAGGCCTTTCCTACAACATCTCAGGGACCCAACCATGCCCCTGCCTCTGGAGGACAAGGCTGCATTTTGAGGGGGTTGGAGAATGGTCAGGGGTGGAGAATGGTCTGCCCTGAATTACCACTCTCCTGTGCTCCAGGGCCTTGAGTCTTGGGCCAGGGTCATGGGTCTCTGCATGGTTAGGGTCAGTCGGGTTGAGTTGGGTGCTGGCCTGTGGTTAGCAGGAATGCTTGGCTGTAGTTCAGAGCTTTTTCTCTAAGAATAGAGAAGGAGGCGCCCAGCCTCCTATTCTTTCCTTCATTAAAAAATATATTTATTGCCAGGCGTGGTAGGTCACGCCTGTAATCCTAGTACTCTGGGAGGCCTAGGTGAGGTGGGAGGATCTCTCAAGTTCAGGAGGTTAAGATCAGCCTAAACAAGAGTGAGACCCCCGTCTCTACTAAAAATAGAAAGAAATTAATTGGACAACTAAAAATATAGAAAAAATTAGCCAGGCATGGTGGCATGTGCCTGTAGTCCCAGCTACTTGGGAGGCTGAGGCAGGAGGATTGCTTGAGCCCAGGAGTTTGAGGTTGCTGTGAGCTAGGCTGATGCCGCAGCACTCTAGCCCAGGCAACAGAGCGAGACTGTCTAAAAAAAAAAAAAAAACAGACTATTCTGTTTCATGGAGTTTCCATTTTAGAGGGAGAGACAAACAATAAACAAATTAACAAATAATTTCAGAGAGTGTTAAGTGTGAAGAGGAAAATACAACGGGTGACATGAGGGGGGTTTGGGAGGTGGGGGGCAACATCGGACCTGTTGGCCAGCGTGGTCTTCTCTGAGATGATGCTGAGGAGCGGGAGCCAGCCCTGCAGTGATGGGCGTGACTGGGAGGGGCTGTGTCCTTCAGCCCCTGTCCCCGCCATCCTCAGGCACCCCCAAGGGCGTGGACTTCACAGCCGTGCGGGATCTGCTGCTGTCGGTGGAGGGGGTGGAAGCCCTGCACAGCCTGCATATCTGGGCTCTGACTGTGGCCCAGCCGGTGCTGTCTGTCCACATCGCCATTGGTGAGTGGTTGGGACACCCAGGGTGGTGAGGGAGAGAGGCTGAGGCCATCCCCAGTGGCTCCAGATGACCCCAGTTGCTTGAGGGCCCATGCGTCAAACGGGCCCTGTGCTGAGTGCTTTAAGCACATTTCATTTGACCACCACAATCTCATGTATCCACCAAGACACTGAGGCTGGGCCTGGCGTGGGGCGGGAAAGTCACTTGCCCAGGCTTTTAGAGCTAATAAGTGGCAGAAGTGGTCTTAAGGCTGGTGCTTTGCCAGCTCTTTCAGGGATGTCCTGGGTCTGGGCGTGGGAGGGGCCTGGCACAGGAGTGGAATCTGGGGGCTTCTTGATGTTCATGGTCCTATCTGCTGGAGGTGGGGTGTGAGACTTGGGCTCTGGATGGTTTGAAGGACCAAGAGTAAATGGTTCTCTGGTGGCTCCTCTGATATGTCCTCTTGGCCCTCAGCTCAGAATGCAGACGCCCAGGCCGTGCTGAAGACGGCCAGCACTCTCCTGCAGGGGAGGTTCCACTTTCACACCATGACCATCCAGATCGAGGACTACTCTGAGGACATGAAGGACTGTCAGGCATGCCAAGGCCCCTCGGACTGAGACATGGACAACCGGGGCATGGACAGGACCTACAGGAGGCGGGACTGAGTGTCCCCCAGGCCCAGCCAGGACTCTGCTGACCCTGCCTGCATTACAAACAGGGTCCCCCTCCTGACCTCAGCTGCCCTGCTCCAGTAATAGGCTCTTCCTAGCCTCCCCGTCTGACTACAGCCGACCCTGGGGCAGGGACTTGGCAGGCATCAAGCTAGCATGGCCCCACTCCTCCAGCTCCTGGGTCCTGGCAGGACTGTGTTTGGGCTAATGCTGTCCTACCACCCACAGTGGCAAAGGCAGTGTGGCACAGTGTGGGACAGCAAGAAGGAAGGTTGGCCTCGGTGCTCCCTCATTTCCTGTTTGCAGCTTGTCTGGCCTTTGCCTTATGAGTGTGTAAAGAAGCTCTGAGCTGGGCGTGGTGGTGACACCTGTCATCCCAGTTACTCAGAAGGCTGAGACAGGAGGATCATTTGAGCCCAGGAGTTCTGGCCGCAGTGAGTTATGATTGTGCCTCTTCTCTCCACACTCCAGCCTGGTGACAGAGCAAGACCCCATCTCTTAAAAACAACAACAAAAGAACTGCCAAACCAGCAGTTCAGGGACAGAGTCCCCTCCCTCTGCCGATAACAATATGGTTTAAGGAGGCCATGGGGCCGGGAGTTGTGGGGGCCCCCCACACTCTCATACCGAGTCCCCCTGAGGTGGGGAGCTTGGGGCACCTGAGGCCTGTCTGGGCCTTAGTCACTTCAGCTGTGAGCCAAATGCTCCCTTTCCTGGAGGGGGAGGCTTCTTACTAGGTACGGAGCTGCTTTCCTCTTTCCTTATTCCCCCAGCGCAGGAAGCTGTGCCAACACCGCACCAGCGGTGGGAGGGGACAGTGGTTTCAGATTGAGCCCCACCCCAAGAGCCTCCCAGCCCCCAAAGCTCTCTCTTGCTTTGAGAGTGTCACAGGGATCGCAGAGCCTGAAGTCAGATGTGATTGGGCCAGCTCTGTCGCCTCTCTGGCCTGACCTGGTGGGAGCCTGCGGATGCAAGAGGAAGAGGAGCTGGACACAGCCCGAGGCCAGCTAGGAGGGAGATGCCAGCTTCCTGCGGCTTGTGTGTGAAGATTCCTGACTTAGGGGGTGACTTGTGTTTACAAGATGCAAGAGGGGAGACCTGTCTTGACTCACCGAGACAACATGCCCAGTTGTCAGGGAGCCCTGTGTGGCATGGTCTGTCCCTGCCATTATAAGCAAGTGTCTTTTGGCAAGGTGGCCTCTCTGCCTCTTACTGTCATCTGTAGACTGAGAGGGGTAACACCTACCTCACTGGGTCCAGGCAGCCAAAGTCTGCCCGGGACCTGGTGGCTGTTGAAGAGTGGTTGCTTTTACTATCCTGGAAACAAGGTACTTGCTGAGGAGCCAGGTGGGCCTCCCAGCCTCCCCAGGGCAGCAGGGGGATTGTCTAGACTCTGCCTTGGATCATGGTGGGAGGAGGAGGGGTTGGCTGCTTCCTTCTCCTTCCCAAAAGAGAGCCTCTCTCTTTCCATCTGTGAACTGACCTCTGTGCCTTTCCAGCACTGTCATCCAGGATTGCCTGTGGCCAGGTCAGTGGGTCCTTCAGCCCCTCGAGGTCTGTGGAAAGTCATCAGCATTGATTGGCCTGGAAGGAGGTGGGGTTGTTGTGGGCTGTGCTTAATTCCACCACACTCTCAGGGGAATCATATCCCTGTGCCCCAGCCATGACAGGCCCCAGAAATGTAGATCCTGGGCTTTGCTGTGTGCCAAGTCCTTATACCCCTCTCAAGAGACAGTCATTGCTAGCCTCCATTTTTGTAGATGAGAAAACTGAGAATCAGAGAGGCTGTGCCATTTGCCTGAAGTCACACAGCCAATGTGAGACAGGTTTGGGATTTCTGCCTTAGACCCCCATACAGCAGGGGCTGGGGACCTGCTCCTGGCTGCATGGGTATAGTATGAGCCCCCTGGGTCCAGCAGTGCCCTCCCCACCGGCAAGGCCATGTCAAGGCAGTTCAGTATCCTGGGTGTTGCAGCTGCAATTGGCTGTGGCTGGGCCTGGCACCCAGAGCCCTCCCAGCCCTGGGAAGGCTGCCTAGGCTGCAGCTGTGTGCTCCTTCACCCACCTGCCACTGCTCTGAACTCTGGGCCAGTCTGCCAAGCCCCTCCCTTTAATTCCCAGCGGCCCCCCCCCCACCTCCAGCATCTAACAGCCCCATGCCTCCCAAGGGAGAGCCCACCACACACACCCAGCTGTGACTGGCTCCAGGGAGGACCTGAGTTTTCAGGGGCCAGATTTCCAGCTGGAGGATGGGGGTGTGAGGCCTTGGACAGGCCTTGGGGGACAGCATGTTCCTGCCAGCGAGCTAGTCACGGGAATTTCCAGAGCTGCGAGGCCATCAAAGCAGGAAAACACCCGACACCTTGATCCTGGGCTGTACCTCCCTCCCAGGCAAGCCCTGAGTGCCACCTCCCCTCGCGCAGCTGCTGTAAGGGTATTTATAGTCTGAGCGTGAGGGGGCAAGGACACCGCGCTTTATTTCGGAAGTGATAATTCCAGTTCCAGGTGGACGAACCCGGGAGAACTTAGCGTCCCCTCCCCCACTCCATTCCTACCTATAGGGCGCCTGGGACAGCCCCCGCTCGTGCACAGCCCACCTAGAAATGGCCCCTTCTTTCTGAGTTCCAAGTGTGCAGGCCACAGGGGTGGGGCTGTCCTTCAGATTCCTCTCCCCGGTGCGTGCCCTCGAGCTGCACGTACCTCTAAACCTCTAACCCTTGTGCCCCTGCCCGCCCTCGGACCAGGGGCGTTTGGAACTGTTCCTTTTCGGGGGGGAGAGCGGTGCAGCGCTGACCTCTAGTGGTCCGGGTCGGCGAGGCGGCGCGGACGGCCGCTCCTGAGCCGGCGCGGACCCCTGCGTTCCCATCCCCCTTGTTCTCCCTGTCGTCGCCTCCCTGCACCCCTTCGCTCCTTGGCTGGGGCGCGAGGACTGAGGCTGACAACGTAGGGGGCTAAGCTGCCTTCCTCCGACTAGGAGCCCCGGGGCGCGGAGGGCGGAGTTTCGTCTCTAGGCACACGCTGGCCACGCTCCGCCACCGCCGGCATGGAGCCAGGCTGGCAGTTAGTGTCTCTTTCATCTATTCGTCATGTTTGCGGCGCACCTGCCAGGCCAGGGAGAAGAGGACACGACTCGCCCTCTGGGGCTCAGGGACCCGTCCTGGGGCCTGACGGTGTGCACACTGCAAGACAGTGCGGGGCCGCGAAACGACAGAGACCGAACCCATCGGGGACCGGGTGAGGGTCGGGCGACGAGGATCTGAAAGACAAGCAGAAGTCAGCTGGGTAGGTAGGGCGCGGTGGCTCACGCCTGTAATCCCAGCACTCTGGGAGGCCAAGGCGGGAGGATCCCTCGAGGTCAGGAGTTCAAAACCAGCCTGAGCAAGAGCGAGACCCCATCTCTACTAAAAGTAGAAGGAAATTAATTGGCCAACTAAAAATATATAGAAAAAATTAGCCGGGCATGGTGGCGCATGCCTGTAGTCCCAGCTACTAGGGAGGCTGAGGCAGGAGGATCGCTTGGGCCCAGGAGTTTGAGGTTGCTGTGAGCCAGGCTAACACCACACAGCACTCTAGCCTGGGCAACAGAGTGAGTAAAGAAGTTAGCTGGGTAGAGAAGCAAAGAACAGCCTTCCGGGCAAGGGGGGCCACCGAGGCGAGGCCTAGCAACAGGGGGCGAGCGCGGGCACCAGGGCTGTGCCTGGAGCTACGGGGCAGGAGGACGAGGCCCCGCCCCTCATGGTGCCGTGGCTGTGATTGGCCAATAGGGCTGTGACGTCTTTGCCGGCTGACTTCCATGATTGGTTTCCTAATGTCCCAAGGAGGGGCTAAGCCCGCAGGCAGGTGCCGCGCCTCCTGGGAGCCCGGCTGGGATCTCGCGGGTCCCTCCTAGGGCTTTTCCAGGCTGCGGTACTTCTTGCGCTGCACCGACACCGGGTCCTTGAACAGCACCGGGTCCAGACGCAGGCGAGAGGACACCAGGGGCATGTGGCCAAATGCTGCCGCCATCTGGTTGATGCAGTCCGGGACTGGGGGTTGGTGCTTTGGCCCGGATCTCCGGCCTCCAGGTGCCTAAGAAGAAATGCACTGATGGACTTCACTGTCCTTCCGAACCCAAACCCCTCCCCCCAGCAAGAAGGATTTGGATTAGACAATGAGAGTGAAGCCTTCCTCCCTTCCTCCCCAAGCCAGTGCCAACCCATCCTCCTGGGCCCCTCACCAGTGGAGCAGCCTCCTGCTGCTGCTTGCCACAGGGCACCTTGATAGGGGGCAGCTTGGTGACTGCCGCTACTAGGAAGTTCATCAGGACGTCCACACAGGTGGGTGCCTCATCTGCCAGGGTCCTCAAAGCCTTGGGTAGGGAGTGGGTGAAGAGAGTGTGGTAATACCTGGGCAAGGGGGGTGGGAGGACAGAGAGAGGCTGCAGCTGAATTCATCGCTAGGCCCCCATTCTCTCTCCTGATCGCACCTCTCCCTTTGATCCCAATCTCCAGGCCTCTTGGGAAAGCCCTGGTCCCCTCAGCCCTGGCTGCCTCAGAGAGCTCCCATCCCCAGTATGAACAGCTATCCATTGCTTTGTCTCCCATGGGTTATCTGCAGCCAATGGCGTACTCCCTGTCCTCTCCTTCACAGCTCCTTGGGGGCCCCACGCCCAGGCTCTGAGCTCTGAACTTAGAGCCAGATGTAGGTAGTGGGATCAGGTGGTTCTAAGGCCATCACTCATGGCAGCCCAAAGACCAGCTTCAGGAAGGCTGTGGATTAACCAGGCTGATGCTTCGGGTGAGCCTGGCTTCACATGGCCCCTATGGGACCACCTGGGTGCACCCTGCAGCCATCAGGGTTATTCTTTACTGAGAATTCCCTGCAGACCTCCCAGGTAATCTATAAGAGTTTCCAGGTAACACATTTGATTTAAACATGTTTAAGGAACCCCTCTGAAGAGATCCTCTAGAATTCAGTCCCTGGCTCAAGACTGGGGGTTTTAGGCAGCTTCTGGAAGGCCTGGAATGGTTCCCAACCCACCACACCTACATTTATAAGGCTTCAAGCCCATTTTCTTGTTACAACACCACCACCAAACCCAAACACTGTCCTTACCCACTGCATGGCTCTACTTAAAATAACACTAACTGCCATTTGTTGAATATCTGTGTGCCAGGGACTTCATTGGATGATCACACCATTCCCGTGAAGTGAATACATCCGTTTTACAGATGAGGAAACTGAAACTCAAGAGAAGTGAGGAGACTTGCCCAGGATCACATAACTGGGAAGTGGCAGATCTGGGCCTTGAACCTGGATCTCTGGGCTCTAGGCTACCCTGCTCCTGGTCCAGGGAGGGGGTCTCTTGCCCTATGATCCATGTGCCAAGGTGGGCATCTGTACCTATGGTAGAAGGCGGCTGTGGTGAGAACCATGGAGAATTCGTTGGCCCTCTCAGCAGTGTAGCCCCAGCCACCCAGGGCCTCGTCCCAGAAGTGGCTCCACGTCAGAAAGCCCACCATCCGCTCCGGGAAGCTCTGCCACACCACAAAGGCAAAGTTCACCTGGAGAGGGATTTAAGTGAGCTGTATGGAAGGACTTCCTGACCACTAGGAATATCCAAAGATGTGGGGGCAGGGCCAGCGTGGCTGGGGGGTCGGGGCAGGACTTAGGAGAGAGGAGCCATTACTTGGGATTGGCCACAAGTGAAGCATGGATGTTCCCAGGGTGTGCTTGGGGGAACTTTCTCAGCTAGGAGCCATGAAAACAGTGTTCTCAAAAGAGTGTGTGGAAAGCCTCCATTAGATCCTTAAAGAGGAGGCTGCTTGGCTTGCTGGAGTGGTTTCAAAAGCAAGAGGCTGGGCCTCATGACCTCTGATCCCACAGCTCTGGGAAAGTGAGGGGCTGCCCCGGCCCTCTGGCTCTGTCCTCACCCACACTGGGCTCCTCTTGGGCCCAGTTCTCACCTCCATTGTGGAGAGGCTGCTGCGGGCATCGAGGCTGAGGATGGCGTCAGTGTTGATGGCGCGGTATGGGAAGAAACGATCGCTGACCTGCAGTGGAAGGGGGTGAGGGCGACTCAGCCATGGGACACTCCCTGCCCCTACGAATACTCAATAAGTAGGAGCCCTTAGGCTTGCCATAGAAGCCAGTGCCACAAACACAGCAAGCCTTCCTGGAACTTGCTCTGAGACCTGGGCAATTTATTTGACCTCTCTGGATTTTAATTTCCCCTTTGGTAAAATGGGGCAGTTTGTCTCTAGAGGACCTTCCAGTTTTGACATCTCAGGATTCCTCTATTGTCATATTAGATGCTCCATCAACCCTGGGAGGGTTGTCAAAAATCCCTCATTTGGGCTGGGTGCTGTGGCTCACATCTGTAATCCTAGCACTCTGGGCCCGGTGGCAGTGGGGGGGGGGTGGCCCGGAGATCACTTGAGCTCAGGAGTTCAAGACCAGCCTGAACAAGAGCAAGACCCCATCTCTACAAAAATACAAACATTAGCCAAATTAGCTGGGTGTTGGTGGCGCATACGTGTAGTCCGAGCTACTTGGGAGGCTGAGGCAGGAGGATAGCATGAGCCCAGGAGTTTGAAGTTGCAGTAAGCTATGATGATGCCACTGCACTCTAGCCTGGACGACAGACTGAGACTCTGTCTTAAAAAAAAAGGAAAAAAAAAATCCCTGATTTGAAAGAGACAGATCTAGAGAGATGAAGGGACTTGCCCAGAATCACACAGCAAGGTGGTTCACACCAACCCAGGTTCTCAGAAGCCACCCTTCCTGCCCTCTGTCTATACTTTCTCAAGATCCTAAGTTTCTCTCCTGTCCCTTATCTGAGAGAGCAACGCACTCCTCTGTCTTCCCCCCAACACATAAACCCCAAATGCTCTGGAAGCACAATTTACAAGGGCCAGGAGGGAAGAGAATTATTTCTATTAGTCTTACAGCTGAAACCTGCTATGTGATTTCTTCAGGTGCTCCAGTACAGTGTCGCCTCCCCAGCTCCCAGCATGAGCCCACTGCTTCCATGCTCCTCCCCGTCCCTCACCTTCCTGTGCCCGTCCATGACTGTCAAGGGCACTGCTGTCTCTGGCCACCTGGATGGGAGTGGCTGCTCACTGCTCCAGAGAACCAAGATCTAGGAGGAAAGGGGTGGTGGGTGCTCCTGAAGTCCAGAGTGTGGGGTTCAAGGGGGTGGACGAAGTATGAGAAAGCAGCTGTATGCATGCACATGGGAGGGCTTAGTTGGATCCAAGGTCCTTTCATTGCTGCCTTGTCCTTGCCTCTGGGCTTCTGGAAGGCAGGAATTCTGGTGACAAGAAGGTAACTACCTGGGGCGCTAGAACTGAATAGAGTTGGGTGCAGTGGTTCCCATTCTGAGCCCTAGCTCTACGCCCCATCCCCATCCTCTCTCTAAGGTTTTCACTTTTCCTCCAGCTCTTCCATCCCAGTCCAGCTCAAATGGCCTGTGTGCGGATCAGTTAGTCTGCACCCTGGCTGTGCTAACTGCTTCCTTCCTCTGCAAGTACTCTCGAGAGTCTGTCTGATTCTCTGGAAGTGAGATCTCACAGTCTGTGTGTGGGAAATGCTAACCGAATCTGAATCCCAAGGCAGAATCCTTTACTGCCTTTTCCCTGCTCAGCATTGAGCCCAGGGCCTGGTGCTCAGAAAATGGCCCCGGAGTAAATGAATGAATGTTTCCTGCTCTCCCCCTCCCGAAGAGCCACCTACTTTTCAGGTGGCATCATCAGTGTCCATGGGGGAAAGGAACAAGAATCTTGGGACTTAAAGAGGAAGGCAGCAAGAACAATTGGGAAACCTCTGGTGCCTCCCCCCAAAATGGATGGTCATCCTTGGGGTCTAGATGTTTCAAAGGCCTTGCCCTGTTCCTCGTCCCCACCCTGGATCCCAGGACTCCAGCCAGCAAAGGGGCAGACCTGGGCACAGTGTTGGGAGCCTGCCACCGCCTGGATGAGCTTCAGGGGGGGCTGGCCGGGGGCCCCCACCCAGATCAGGGCGCTGAATCTGCCCTCAGGCCGGGAGCCTGGGGGAATGAGACACAGGCTATTAGGGTGGGAGGGGACAGAACCCATGGAGAATGGCCTGAGTAGGGGACCCCAGGAGCCAGGAGAGATGTGGAGGGTCTTGGTGGGGCTCTATGGATGAGGCCAGGGCAGAGTTGAGGGGACTTTAAGTCATCCCATCCCCAGGGCATACCCCGTTGCAGGTGGTAGAAGGGGAAGTTCTGGGGGATCGTGGAAAAAGTAGGCAGGGCCAGGAGTGCCCCTGGGGGGCTGTTCCACAGCAGCGAGGGGTGAGCAGATGTGCCAAAGATCCGGTCCTGAATAATCTGTGAAATAACAGAGCACTGTGCAGAGGGAGTGGCCAGTGTGGCCATGGCCACACCTCCCCTTCCAGGTTCTGGGAAGGGCCGCAGCTATGTCACCAGGCCGCTGGTGTCACTCCATGGTGGTGTTCCAGAGGCAGCAGATTGTGGCAGGCTTGCTGCCTCCCTTTCCTTCCTCATTCATGGCAGACGTCACCAACAGGTCATGACGTTCTTTCCACACTCAGAATCTCTCCCAACACAGTGCCCCAGGCAGCCATCGCCACTCAATTAGAGTTGGCATGTACTTTGAAATCTATTTGCCACAGCTGTCCCCTCTATGGATAGGGAAACTGAGGCCAAGATTGGAGAAGACACTTGTCCAAAATTTCATAGCCAAGTCTCAGATTCATTCCAGAAACATGTTCAAGGGAGGGATCCCCAAATACTGGGGCAGAGGAGGTGTCCCCAGGTGAGAGGAGTATGGAGAGGGGGTGGGGTCCCCCTCACCTCCAGCGTGGTGTGGATGACCTTCTCCACCGAGGAGAAGTAGGCGTCCCACAGAAACTGGGTCTGCTGACGCAGGGCAAGGACCCGTGCAGGGGGCATCTCCTGGAGAGCAGCCAGGACCTGGAGCACAGAGGGAGAAAGGAGAAGGTATGGGAGCGTGTCAGGCCCTGGCTGACCCTGGGAGGAGGAAACCTGGGGTTGGAGACCTGAGAACCAGAAGCCCCCTCCCCACAGGTCTCCAGGCTGGTGGGCAGCAGCCACCCTTGGCCAGGTCCCAGGTAACATAGCAGCCAAGAGTTCAGGGTTCACATACAGCTGGGTTTAAATGTCACTTAGTGACTGTGTGACTCTGCTCATACCACTTAACCTCTCTGGGTCTGGTTCCTCATCTGTAAAATAGAGATAATATTAGTACCTCCCTCCTAGGAGGGCTGTGAGGATTAAATTAGATCACTCGTATTGGTACATTGTAGAGGCCTTTAAATAAATGGTAGCTATTATATATATGTTTTTTTTTCTTTTTCTTTTCTCTTTTCTTTCTTTTCTTTTTTTCTTTTTTTGAGACAGAGTCTCACTTTGTTGCCCAGGCTAGAGTGAGTGCCGTGGCGTCAGCCTCGCTAACAGCAACCTCAATCTCCTGGGTCAAGCAATCCTCCTGCCTCAGCCTCCCCAAGTAGCTGGACTACAGCATGCGCACCATGCCTGGCTAATTTTTTTATATTAGTTGGCCAATTAATTTCTTTCTATTTATAGTAGAGATGGGGTCTCGCTCTTGCTCAGGCTGGTTTCGAACTCTTGAGCTCAAACGATCCGCCCGCCTCGGCCTCCCAGAGAGCTAGGATTACAGGTGTGAGCCACCGCACCCGGCTAGATATATTTTTTTAATTTAAAAAAAATTTTTTTTAGTTATTAATTGTTTTTCTTTTCTTCTTTTTTCTTTTCTTTGGAAGCATTCGGAGAAGAAGGTAGCTATTATTAACCCCTACCTATACCATTCTCACTTCTCTCTCGGGGGATTCAAGGCAGGCTCAGACATGCATTGTTCAGAGCTGGGCAAAATGAGTGTCATCAGATGGAAGTCACTGTATATTTTGCTTTCCTACCCCAAGCCCCATAGAGGCACTGTGATGTTGAATTTTTTTGTAGACTCCTCTTAAATTGGCTATTTAAGCAGTTATGGACCATTAGAGCCAGGCCCATGGGGATTGTCTGGTCTAACAGCCCATTGTAGAGATAGAGAAACTGAGGTTGGAAGAGGATCAGGACTTTTCCAAGAGCCCTTAGGAATCTCTACCTCCATCTGTTCCTATGGGAGACTCAGAGGGGAGGCTCCGTGCAGCACAAATTCACCAATATGCATGGATGGGGGTAGGAATGAGGACCGAGGCCCGCCCCTGGGTAGGGCCCCAAGCTACCTGAAGTGGGACCCTCTTGTCAGCTACGATGGCTGCCTTGGTCCAGTCGATGACCTCAGAGAAGGGCAGCTCCCAGCGGGGGCTGAGAAGCACAGGGATGCAGCCAGCCTGGGGGGCAAGGAGATCAGTGGGAGCCCACCCCCATGCTGCACATACTCACCCCTCCCAGTTCCAAGTCAGCAGCTGCTATTGGGGTCAAGGGGCAAAGAGGAGAGGAAAACTGGGGATTTTTTGGGGGAGGGGCAGGGTATGATTCTGCAGAGGGATAGTGAGTCCAGAGCAAAGAAGTGGGCAGCTCACTGCCCCGCCCTGCCAGCTCAGGGGTGTGGAGGGCAGAGGACAGGGATGCTCTGGCTGGCGTACCTGCAGGGCTTGGAGGAAGCGTGAGGAGGCATCGACACGTTGGCCAGAAATGAGGCAGAAGGTGGCGTTGGGCAGCATTTCCCCTGGGTGCGTCCTGAGAGGTACATGAGGAGGCTCCTGCTCACATAAGCCTGGACAGCTGGCCCTCACCCTGCCTGGTTTCCTCCTTGGCCCCCAGCACCCCACAGCCATACTCCCAAATTCACAATGTGCAGACCCACTGACGCACCTACACAGACGCACACTGACACAAACGCAAGCCTCACACCCGCCGGCATCTACGGTTAGGCTAGCAGGCAGGCGCCCTAGGCCCTAGCTCTGCCTCTGCCCTTGGTGGCCTTAGACACCTCCCTTGCCTTCTCTGGGCCTCAGTTTCCTCATCTGCAAAATGGGAGGCAGTGGGACCTGATGTTCCCAGGCCCTGTCTGACATAGACGGGCACATGTTTGCCCTCCCCCCACCCTGCCACATGCACTCTCGGGCACCCCTTACCTGAGTGGCTTCCATGCCCAGCCCTCCCTGCATGCCGAGAGCCAGGCCCATGAAAGGCTTCTCTGTGTGAGGTGGGCTGGGCCCCCAGCCTGGAACCACACAGGAAGTTGTTGCCCAGAGGCCCCCTCGCCCAGAGGACAGGCCTCCTCTGTTCCTCCCCCCTCCTCCCCCACCCCAGGGCCACACTCAGGCTGTGTGTGCCTGTGGGGAGGGGCAGGAGTCTCCTCAGAGCCACCTGGCTGGGATTGCCCACCCAGGGACCCATTGCCTGTGACCCAGTGCTGGGTGCCGAAGTAGAGGGAAGACCGGGACCCTGGGCTCATAGGCCTGCTCAGAGTGGGACCCAGAGGGTCCCAGGGCCTCCCTGAACTACAGCCTGTCTGGTTCTGAGCCTGAACCTCCAGGAAGCAGGTCTGGGAGTACTTAGGCAGCCTCTGGGTCAACTCCCATTGAACAAATGGGGAGACTGAGTCCCAGAGAGATCCAAGGACTGGCTCAGGGTCACAGAAAGGGTTGGGGTAGAACTGGGACAAGAACTGAGATGTGTCAACTCCTAACCCTGAGCCACCCTAGAGCTGCTGCTTAGAGGTCTCCTGGGGGCCCCAGCCTTCCTTCTCCTCCATTCGATGCTCAGCTGTCCACCAGGCTCCCTGGAAGAAGCCACAGGTTAGACATCGGGACATCCTCCACCTCATTAAAAGCCACAGCACCAGCCAACCAGGTACAGACCCCAATAAAGCTCTAACGAACTGAAAACCTCTAGGTTAAGGTTTCCAGGAGCCCAAAGAGAGACAAAGAACCCTGCTGAATAAACTGCACCCCTGAGCCCTAAACCTCCATTGCTCCTTCCTGGGTGCCTTTCCATATCTTTGTCCCTGTCCCTTACCCTGAAGTGCCCCTCCCTGCCTCACCAGTCTGGGGAATCCCTCCTACTCTGTCTTAATGTCTAAGCTGAAACACCACCTCCTCTGGGAAATCTCCCTCTCTCCAGAGCTGGTTCTCTCTGCTCACTCTCCCTCATGGGCTGTAGTAGTAAAATCCAAGCTGTCTTTTCTTGAGCGTATACTTTGCCCCAGACACTATTCTAAGTGCTTTCAGTGCATTAACTCACTTTATTCTCACAGCAACTCTATGAGATGGGAGGTATGTGCTGTTATTATTCCATTTTACAGATGAGGAAACTGAGGCCCAAAGAGATCACACAGCTCTTACACAGAGAAGTTGGCAGGCACCTTGTGCAGACTCTCTCTGTTTAACAATGTGCGTCAAACATCGACTTGTCTGTCTCTCCTACCAGACTGAGCAACTTGAGGATGGGCTGTGCCTCCCTCTTCTCAGTATCCCCAGGGCCTAGCAGAGCACCTGGTGGAGAACAGGCACCCAGCGGGTGCTAAGTGCATGATGCCGAGTGTGGCACTAGAGGATAGATCCGGGACCAATGGACCCAGTGTCTGCGAGGTCCAATTTCAGCACAAATTCTAGTAATGGAGCTGGCTGAGAGTGGAGACAGTGGGTAGCTTTGGGAGGTGGTGAGTTCCCCGTCAGTGGAAGTAAATAAGCAGAGACTGTGGGAAGGCAGGGGGGGCTGTGTTGACCACCAGATGAAGTCTTGGGATTCTGTGACCATGTAACGTATCTGCCGTACACTCAGGGTCTCAGTGGCCAAGGGTGGTCAGTGTGGCTCTGCCCAGGGCTGCACTGTGACTTGCACGTGCCCTCGGCACTTTGGCCTTTGCAGCTCCTCCCACCATAAAAAAATTAAAAATTATATTTGATAACTGTGTTGGTATAAAAACAAATAATATTCTATATTAAAACATTTTCTTCTACCTTAAAAGTTCATTTTTTTTTTCCCTCTGATTTTCAAAGAATTGAAAATATCTTCATGGGCTCCTAAAAGTATCATGGGCTCTAAGCACTGCACCGCCTGTCCCCAATGGTTACAGGCTGGGGGACTTTAAAACATGCGCTGGATTTCTATTGTAAAAAATAGTGGAGAATCTATATATACATTGCTTGTGCACACATGGAGTTTCTCAGAAAAGACATACAAGACACTGGAAATGGTGTTTGGCTCCAGGCAGGAAAACTGGGTGGCCGGAGACAGGGGTGGGAGGGAGACTTTTTACTGTATACCCTTTTGTACCTTTGGAATTTTGTACTATGCCAATGAATTACCTATTCATGAAAATAAATAAATAACAATTTAAGTGGGTGGAGATTTATTCCAAAGCAACAAGAGGCTGTTCAACTAAAGTGGAAAAATATGGGCTTTGGAGCCAGACGGATAGGGTTTACCCGACTCCACTGCTTCCCAGCGCCCGATCACAAAGGAGAGGTGGGCCACAGAGAGCAGAGACAGAACCTTGTCACCAAGGGCCCTTGGCTACCTCACTCCACCTCTCTGAGCCTTAGTTTCCTGTTCTCTGAAATGGGGACAATAACACTCCCCTGCAGGGCATGTGAAAGGGTAAGCGATGACAGGTGAAGTGCCTGGCACAGCCCCTGGCCTGGGACAGACTAACCCCAAATGTTAGCTTCCTCCCCTCCCCCCCTCTGGCTAGCTGAGTGAATGTGGGACAGTGGCAGGGACTGTGAATGGCCTCTTTCTCTGGCCAGCGCTTGTTTATTCAGGCTACCTCTCACTCTGTCCCGATATTGTCTGTCTGGCCCAGGCAGCTGCCTGGCACTTCCGAGAAATCGAGACTTAAGCTACCCCAGAGATTAGTGGTCCTGTCACCTGAAGGTAGGCTGAGGCCAGAGACAAAACTCCTTGAAGTTCAGGAGACAATGAAAGGCTGTCAAGCTTCACACTTTGAAAATGAACTTATCAAAAATGCTACTTAGAGGGTGACCCATGCTGGTTAAAAAACTCTGGCTGATTTTGGATCCAGCAGTAAACACTTAGTGAGCACCTATGAGCTGGGTACAGCTCCCTGACTTCCAGTTTCTCAAAGAAGTTCAGACTGCAAAGCTTGCAGCTTCACCAATACCAGCTGTGCTTGGCGGTAACTAAAGTCAGCTGAAAGAGGAACTTCCTGCAAGCGAGAATAGCTGAGTGCCTAATCAGAAAAGCGTCACCAAAGGTGAGCTTCTGTCCAAGCTCTGAGCCTGCGGGGCCTGGGGGAGATCCCAGAGTATGTCAGCTAAGGATGTGTCCTGGCAGAAGGGCTCTGGGGCTGCCCCAGGCGACTCCATTCTTCCCCCTGCTGTGAGGGCTGCCTGGAGGCCTCCCCGCACCTTCAGGAGGTGGCGGGATTCCATTCCCTCAAGAGCCCTTAGGCTGAGAGAAGCCCCAAGAGCCCCAAGCAGAGGCAAAAATGGAGCTTGGCCACGTGGAGAATTCCCGGGAGGGAAGTGGAGCTCAGAATAGGTGATGTTGTTTGAGCAGAGAACAGGGAGAGGTGCCCGAGGGACCGAGCACAGGAAGGACACCAGAGTGACGGTTTCAGGGGCCGGGGACAAGCTCGGGAGGACTTCCATTCTTGCCAGCACAGCTAGGCTTTGGAGACTGCTGGCCTCCTGGGGGTGCAGAGGGGCCAGGGTGCTTGGGGCTGAGTGCTTCATCTCATGAGGTGTGTCACCCCAGCTAGCCCAGGTGGACAGATGTCTCTGCTCATGCTGACCAGGTCCCACAGTCCCCAGCCCCTTATATATAATCAAGCCCTCTCACTGGAGGGAAGTTCTTCTTTAGAGCTGACCTGCATCATATTTGCTGTAACCAAAGGCTGTTTCCTTGAGAGGCTAATCCCCAAAATTAGGCACAAGAGCAGCTTCCACCTGTGACCAGTTACTAACCTCCAGGGCCCCTCTGAGGTATTTGATGGGGTTGATCATAAACTCTTGCTTGAAACTCAGAACACTCAAACTAAAGGCTATTCTGGATTAAAATACTGGCTCTGGCTGGCTGGGTGACCTCAGGTAAGTTATTTAACCTCTCTGAGCTTTAGTGTCTGGTACACAAACACTTAAATGATAGCTTTTAGTAGTATTTTATTATAATCATTATTTATAAAAGTGCTTGGCACAGAGTAAACACTATACACGTATATGTTCCATAAAATATTAGGGTAGGAGGATTGGAATATGGGAAACGATTGGAATATGGGAATAAATAGGAGTGAGTTGTGTTTCATGTTTTTAAAGGTCCTCAAGGGAGAACTCCAAAACCTCCCTTTGAAACCCCTTATGGCCAATCGCCATCTTGATGGAAGTGCTTTCTGTTGTCTAACCTTACTCCCTCCTGCTGCAGCTAAGGCCTAAGTTTGCCAGGACTAGCTGGTTCTCCCATCTCAATCCTGCCCTCTACCCTGGTCTGTGGGTTCACTTCTGTCACAGCCCCCTCCCATCCAGCCCCCAAGAGGAAAGGTTCACTTACTGCTCGGGTCCAGGGTCTTGCTTACAGTGCCCATCCCAGGGGCAGGCAGAGGAGTTGGTGCCTGCTGTGCGCCACCCACCCCTCTCTTCCTCCAGGGCTAGCAGGGCTACCCCGGGCTGGGGGCTGTGCTGCCGCAGCTGGCCAGGAGCCCCACCTCGCCATGGGTGGGCTTCAGGGAGAAGAGGGAGGGCCACGTCGAAGCCAGGCCGGAAGGAGTCCACTGTGGGGCTGGCCTCAGCCACCATAGCCTGTCCCAGCTGGAAGGTCCTGGGGCAGGGGGCCGAGTGGAGACTGAGGACCAGGTGGTTCCTGCCCCCATTCCATGGCGTCGGCACCGGGCTACACTCTCCGGCCGGGGAGTCCAGGCTGAGGAAGAGGCGGAGGCAGGCCTCGGCAGGGCTGAATGTGTGGTAGCGGGAGACCTCCAGAGAAGCCAGGATCTTGCGACCAGTCTCAGAGATCGGTCCTGCTGCCACTTGGTGCACGAATACCTTGAGGCCATCACCCCTGCACTTCGAGGTGTCAAAGCAGGTCCCCCAGTCGCAGCTGCTACCATGAGAGGCTTGAGGAGGTGGAGGGGCATCTTCTGGGAGCTCCCCAGGCTGGGAGAAGCTCTGCAGGAGCTCTGCGTCCAGCCAGCGGGGCCATCTTTGGGGGCCTCCTGGCCGAGGTCTGGGGGGCACTGCTGGGCGGAGAAGGGGGAAGCCCCCCAGAAGGACGAGGAGCAGCCAGGAGGCTGACAGTGCCAGCCAGAGGGACTTCTTTCTCCACAATTGCATGTGGCCACCCACAGCCAGGGTTGAAGGAAGCTGGGAGGCCTCTGCCAGCAAGCAGGAAGAGCAGAGCCCCGAGGGCGGGGACTGGAGCCACGACCAGCCTTCTAGTCCAGTGCTCTCATTATACAGATGGGAAGACTGAGGCCTATCAGGAGCAGGCTGCCTGCCTCAGGTCAAACAGCAAGCCACCGGCCAGGCACGAGGAGGCCAGGTAGGACCCAGCTTTCTGGACTTGCCTTCCTGCCTAGGACTCTGCTTCCTCGGCCTTTGGACAACCTAGCTAGCCTTTGCCCTCCCGGCAGGGCCCCCTGCCCCTGTGCACCACTCAGGCTGATGCAACCCCTGTCCAGACTGCAAGGCCACGTCCCTCTGCCCTCCTGGCCGCACCCCCTGACCTTGCCCTCAGCTGAGAAGAGGGCTGTCTGCCAGGCCATGGGGGACTAGTCAGGGCTCCCACGGGGACAGCGTGGCCAGGGGGCAGGCTGGAAGGAAGCAGAGCTGGTCTTCCACTCCTCCCCTTGCCTGGCCACCCCTGTGCCCACTGGCAGGCACTCCTGGGCTGGAGCCCTGTGGCTGGAGCTAAAATTAGACCCTGCGCCCCATGTGGGCCCTCAGGGTTAGCTGAGGTCAGACCCTAGGGGCAGCTGGTGTTCCCCGCCTAGGGGACCAGGAGGGCTCGGGGTCCTGTCCTCTTCCACTCTGCTCCCAGCTCAGGCAGCGCAGCCTCTCCTCTCCCGGAACCCAGCAGCTGCCCTGTACCCTCTGGCTTGGAGCTGTCACGGTGCTGAGGCCAGGTCGCCTTCCCTAAGCCCCTGCCCCAAGTCCCCTGAGCCCTGCTGTCACCTCCTCCCGCTCCCTCTCCAGGCAGCATCTGGCCAGTGGAGATCTCTTTCCTAGCAGCAGCTTGGCTCCTCCCCTGCCAGCCCTGATTCGCTCCCAGCTGGGAGGCAGGGTCTCCACTTAACTCCTTCCAAACCAGTCTTTTCAATTGCTGGCACTAATAACTGGGAGGCACCACACCTCGCTGCTGGCCAGGAGCTGTTACAGCCTCTGTCTCTCTGAATCCTTCAGCAACCTCCGTGGCAGAGGTTTATCTGGTTTTTTGTCTGAGAAAAGTGAAGTTCAGAGAGGTGATGGACTCTTCCTAAGGTGACCCAGCTAAGAAGTGGCAGGGTGGGGATTTGAACCCTGAGCTCCTGTCATTGGTCAGCCCAGCTGGGTGTCTGAGTGTGGGGAGTCTACAGACCAGCAGATGAGAAAGTCAACGGATGAGATGAGTGAGGAGCTAAGGGGTGTGGGTGGAGGAGTTTGGTGAGGTGCCTCCAACTGTCCCCAAGATTGGTCCCCTCCACCTTCAGCATCCCCAACCCCAATCTTAGCCAGCTCCCAGCCTTTGCTCCAGTCCAAGTTCTTCCTGAACTTGACTCTCCATGAGTCCACGCCCCATTGAGGGCCTCCCCCAGTCAGTTCCTTGGTCTTTGCTCCATGAGGGGTCAGAAACGGGTGGTGTCACCCACTGAAGGATTGCTGGGGTAACGGAGGAGACACAGGAGCCCAGGCTGATGAGGGAGGGCACAGGAGTCAGAAGACCTGAAGTGGGACTCCACCTCTAGCCCCGACTGGCTGGGTGGTGTTGGGCCTCTGTCCCCTTCTCTCTAGAATGGGCACGGCAGTCTCAGCATGAGACGGTTGCCCGGTTAACTCCAGGCCTATCCACTGGGGGCCCTCGACAAGTGGTGGCTTCCTTTCCCTTGCTTGCCTTGCCCTGATCTCAGACTGGGGGCCACCACAGCCTGGGGTTGGGGCACAGTTCATACACCGAGACTGTCCTCAAAATGGCCAATGAAGGGCCTGGGTTGGGGCCCTCCTCTAGGTTCTCATGCCGTTTCTTCATCCCTCTATCTCTACACACATCCATTCGTTCATCTAACAAATGCTTGTGAGTATTAAACACGGGCTGGGGCCTGTGCTGGGTGTTGGGGTACAGCCGTGAGTAAGAGTAAGAGCTAACATGCATATCACGCTTGCTATGTGCCAAGCACGCTCTATGTGCTAAAGTAGTGTCAGCCCAGCCTTTCCCCAACTCTATGAGGGAGACACTGTGATTATCCACCACATTTTTTTTTTTCTTTTTTCTTTTTTTTTGAGACAGAGTCTCCGCTTTGTTACACCAGGATAGAGTGATGCCGTGGCGTCGCCTAGCTCAAGCACCTCAAACTCCTGGGCTCAGGGCGATCCTTCTGTCTTCAGCCTCCCGAGTAGCTGTGGACTACATGCATGCGCCACCATGCGTAATATTTTATATATAATGAATATAGTGGCCATTAGTTTCTTGCTCTATTTATACTAGAAACGGGTCCTCGCTCTTGCTCAGGCCTGGTTTTGAATCTGACCTTGAGCATCTGCCCGCCTCGCCTCCAGAGAGCTACGGATTACAGGCATGAGACACCGGCCGGCCTATCACCCACATTTTGCAAGAGTGAGAACAACACCAGGGGAGGTAGAATTGCCTAAAATTCCCCAGCTTAGCAAAACAGGTAATTCTGGACCAGTCACCCATTCCTCTAACCACTGCACTGTTCTGCCCCCTCTGCCCCAGGAGCTCACCGTCCAGGGAAAATGAGACCAGTAACCAGGTGATTACAGAGTAGGGAGAGGGGAACGTGGGGTGGCTGCCAGCCGGGGGGCCAGAAGAAAGGACTTCAAAGGAAGTAATTTTTAGAAACCATCGGATCTCATTCATGCTTCCCGTGCCCAGCATTGCTAGGATAAATGTCCACGAATCCTTGTTGAATGAGTGAAGGAGTGGATGGATGGACAGAGTTGGGTGGCTAGAAGGCCAAGGCCAGATGGTTAGGGGTTTGGGGGATACCTTACCTGGTTCCAGCTCCTCCACCTGCAAGGCCTGGGCACCCAGCTGGCTATGCCCACATCTGTGCACACACATAAGCTCTTTCCTACCTTCATCCCTGCAGGGAGGCTCTCAGGACGGCTGGGATCTGGGCTTGTCTGGTTGTGATTGACGCAGTGGCCCCAGGACTTAGATGGAGAAAAAGAAGGCAGGGCATCTTGGCAGATAGGACTGAGCTGGGCTCATCTTAAAAATAAGTCCTTGGGGCCGGGCGTGGTGGCTCACGCCTGTAATCTTAGTACTCTGGGAGACCGAGTGGGGCTGGATCGTTTGAGTGCTAGTAGTTCCCGAAGCCTGACCAAGACCTGTCTTACTAAAAAAAATAGACAAGAGATTAGCTGGGACAACATATACGAATATAACTATAAACCAGGCATGGTGGCACATGCCTGTAGTCCCTAGCTAACTCTGGAGGCCTTGAAGGCACGGAGGATCATTGAGCCTACGATGCTTCGATGTTGCTAGTGAGCTATGCTGACGGAACCGGCTTCTATCCACGACACATAGAAGTGAAGACTTGTCTCGAAAATAAAAAAAAAAAAAAATAGGTCTTAGGGGCAGTGCAGTGGCTCATACCTGTAATCCTAGCACCCTGGGAATCTGAGTCAGGAGGATCACTTGAGACCAGGAGTTCAAGACCAGCCTGAGCAAGAGCAAGACCCTGTTTCTACTAAAAATAGAAAAATTAGCTGGGCGTGGTGGTACACGCTTGTAGTCCCACCTACTTGGGAGGCTAAAGCAGGAGGATTGCTAGAACCCAGGAGTTTGAGGTTACAGTGAGCTATGATGATGCCGCTGCACTCTACTTGAGGCAACAGAGCAAGATCCTGTCTCAAAAAAAAAAAAAAAAAAAGATCTCAGGGATTTGCCAAGGGCTCCAGGCCCTCCATGTTCTTCCGTGCTCATCACAGTCACCAGGAGACCCCATCCTGTACCTGCAGGGGCTCTGATCACTAGGACAGAAGCCAACATGTTGGGGAGGTAGGAAGGAGCCCGGGCAGGAAGGAGAGGACAGCAGTGGGGAGGAGGACAAGGCCTGGCCTTCAGTGTGCGAGGCTGCCCGGAGGAGGTGGGCAGGGTTGAAATAGGCCGTTATGTGGACTTGAGGACAAAGGGTGCTCTGGAGGCATCCCGGGGCTCTGAGCACTGCGGTGTTCATGTCATAACTGTGGTGGTGTCACAGCCGCCCAGCAGCTGCCTGGCACAGGAGTGCTTCCTCCTGAGGTGCCAGGTGTCCTATGGGCCAAGATGCCCAGTGAGAGAATGGGGGATAATGACCCCACGTTTCATCTGAAGTGTTCCTTCTCTGCACCCTGCTCGGGCTTCCCTCCCTCCCTCTTCAGGCTGCTCCTGAAAATTCTGGAAGGAATAGTTCCTGCCTTCGGAGAGGAAGGGGCACTGTGTAGTGCTGTGTGTTCCTGTGCAAGTTACTTCACGTCTCTGTGCTTCTGTTTCATCAGTAAAATGAGGATGCCAATAATAGCTTTTTCCTTAAAGGCTCGCTGGAGGAGGACTATATAAGTGAGAAAACGGACACACAGCCTTAACACACCATGCCCGGCATAGAGCAGGCACCTAACAAATGGCATCCTGCTGTCCCTCCTCAGACCCAGGGACTGGGATGACTTGCCTAAGGAATGCCAAGCAGTGCATCTGGGAGAAATTAGGACAAGGACTTGGGTTTCGCCCTCCTGCATCCCTGTTCTTGCTGCACCTCCCCCTCTGTGCAGGAGGAAGGAAGACTCTTGGACTCCAGGAGATGATCACCGTGGAAACCCATCTGCTGCTTCTCGACTGTGGCTGTCTGTGTCTCCCGCTCCGGGCTGCCTGCGTGTCTCACTGCAGAATTAGCAGGGGGAGGAGGGTGGAGGTTTCAGGAGGCTCCGGGGTTCCGCTCTTGCTTTAGCACCGATAACCACAAACCACAGTGAATCTCATAAGATTGCACTACCTCCGGCTTTGCTGGAGTGAGTCTGCCACCCCCAAGCCCCGAGGATGCAGAGCAGCTCCTGCTCAGAGTGGGTAGCCCACACCTGGACCCCACCTGGCGCAGCGCCAGGGAGGCCGCCAGGGGACCCAGGGATGGGTGTGGGGCAAGCAGGTCTGGCCTCTGTTCCTTTCCCAGTGACGGCACATGGTCTCGGACAAGTCACACCCTTTTTCTGAGCCTTCATTTTCTTTTTTGTTGTTGTTTTTTTTTGTTTTTGTTTTTGTTTTTTGAGAGAGTCTCACTTTGTTGCCCAGGCTAGAGTGCTGTGGCATCAGCCTAGCTCACAGCAACCTCAAACTCCTGGGCCCAAGCAGTCCTCCTGCTTCAGCCTCCCGAGGAGCTGGGATTACAGGTGTGTGCTACAACAAGCTAATTTTTCTATTTTACGTACAGATGGGGTCTTGCTCTTGCTCAGGCTGGTCTCAAACTCCGAGCTTAAACGATCTTCCCGCCTCAGCCACCCAGAGTGCTAGCATTATAGGCGTGAGCCACCACACCTGGCCAGAGGATTATAATTTGATAGTTCACTAAACCTCTTCTGTAAAATGGGGAATCTGGGGTAAGTGTTGGCCACGTCCCAGGCACTGCTGAGCTCTCTAGAGCCAGGATTTCATTTAAGCCTCACAGCAAAACTGCCAAGGCAAGTGGTTCTTCTCCCCATTTTATAGATGAGGTTAGTGAGGTTCAGAGAAGTTATTGCACCAAGGCTACACAGCCGGTGAGTAACAGAACCTGGATTTGAATCACTGCATCACAGGGGCCTAATTCCCTCTTTGCAGGTTTATTGTGGAACTCACTGGATGAGATAAAGCATGGGAAAGTGCTTGGAAAACTGTAAAGTTACATGCAGTGAATAATTACGGTCCACCCAAGTCTGCCTTGTAACCCAGCTGCACCTAGACGTGGCCCAGGGTCTGGGCTCCCTCCTCTGGGAGGTGAGTCTCTGCTTCCTCTAGGGTAGGTTCTTGTTTTCCAGAGAAAGCCAGGGGCTGGGGTGGGCAGGCGGCCCTGGTCCAGCCCCTCACACACAGGACACAGTCCCTGCCTCATGCTGCAGGCTGAGCTCTCAGCCTGGCCACGGCCACGCCTGGGGCGGGATCTGGGGAACAGCAGGACTGGACAGGCCAAGTGCAGTGAATCGCAAACCCTGATCCTGAAGTCATGCTGTTCCCTCCTCCTGAATGTTTTGCCTGAATTAGAGTCTCTGAAGGCTTTGGAAGCCGTTCCCAACCTCCCTCAAGTTAGTTCCTAGACCCCCTGCACACACACCACCACCACCACCACCCACCACCCACCACCCTCGCCCCCCAAAGCCCACACCACCTCCCCATCAGCCCAGGGCGCCAAGGGGTTACTCAGTGGAGCCAGCTTGGCAAATGTTTACCCAGCAGGCAGGCTGCTGAGAACCCCAGGTAATTTTTTTTTTTTTTTAAGGCTGGTCAAGTGGAGCAGTGGGAGTGGAGAAGGAACAAAGGAATCTGTAACTGGTTGTGATCAATTAGTTGTAAACACCTCTGCACTCAGACCAACCAACCCCAGGTAATTAACGGTTTGCTTTCCAAAGCCAAGGGGGAAGGTTTGTTTCTCCTCTCCTCCCTTCCCAGAGTGGACACAGCTTCCCGTCGGCTCTTTGAGGAGATGCCTAGCAGAGGGGTGGGAGCTGGGGCAGGGGTGGGGGTGGGAGCATGCGGAACAGGCGCATAGGTGGGCTCAGAGGAGGGTGTGAAGTCCCATTTCTGAGTCTTGCCCCCCAGCCTGACCCCAGGCTGACATTCCTCAAATGCGGTAATTACTGCTGTAACTGTTGGAGCCCTGCTAGGCCTGGAACCCTTACACACTTGGCCTCATTGAATTCTCAGGACCACCAGAAGAGCTAGGCGCTCTTATCTCTGCTTCCAGATTAGGGAAGGGAGATGCGGAGAGGTGAAATCACATGTCTAGGGTCACCCAGCCATGGGGGCTACAGCCAGGACCCAAACCGTGGTCTGTCTGACATCAGCTCTCCTGGACCTCCTACTTTCCCTTATGGAAGAAAATGCAGTTGATTTGTTCAGCACCTGCCATATGCGTGGCATTATGCTGGACGCTTTATGTTTGTCTCTAATCCTGAAGGTATCACTTTCTAGAATCCTTTTAATAAGCCATTAACATCAGAAGAGTGAGACAGTCCCATCCCCAGCTGGGGGGGAAGCACAGA